ATGACTCCCAACCCCCACAAGGAACACAGCATTTCAATATCAGAATTTGAAGATTAAGAGATCGAGGACATGACGGAAAGGAAAAATTACTCATAGGATTACTCAAAGGCAATCAGACACAGATCCACAAACTAAAGAAAACCACTAATGATATGCATGAAAATTCTCCCCATGAAATTGAGACTTTAAAGAGAAATCAAAATGCAGTATTAGAAATGAGGAATTCAATAGCTCGCTGGTGGGCGCGAGGCCGGGGGGAGTCCCAAGCGCAGGAGATCCCCATAGGGCCCCACCTCAGAGCGGGCAGAGCCCGGCAGAGGAGACTGAGGGGCAGGCTGGCGGCCCCAGCCCTGGGGGCCCGCCCCACGTGTACCCAGCACTCTCCCCTCCAGGAGTTCTCCCAGGGCCAACAGCTCTGCAGGGAATGTCGGATCGCACATCCTACTGTAAAGTGTACTTACTGCAGATGAGAATTCCAACAAGAGAGCAAACGAACACAATCTGTAAGTGCACAAGATGTTAAGGGATTTGGGACACCCAAACCTTGTCGACACTGTAACATGATTGCAGCATTCATTGGTACCAAGTGTCAGCGCTGTACACATTCAGAAAAAAATGCAGACCCCCTCAGACCTGTGAACAGTGCGAACGACAGAGAGCTTTTGATGCGAGGGAGGAAAGTAGAAAGGCGGATCGAAAGTAGTTATGCTGGCGCTGTACTTTACCATACAAGAGTTTTACAGAAGACAAAAGAACAAAGGAAGGCTCTGGGATCCTCGCATTCAGATCCTCCTCCTCCTCCTCTGAGAAAGACTAGCATCATTCAAAACCTCTCCACCAGCACCACCACCGCCATCCTCTCAGCAGTAGCCATCACCAAGTCAGCAGCTGAAGTCCAGAGCGAGAGCAGGGACTGTGGAAACGGCGCCATAAATCCTCTGAAGCAGTTCAGAATGAAGCTCCAGAGAAACCCCAGCTGGAATCTAAGCCATCGGATGGAGACAGCTCTACAAGTCAGTCAGCACGTGGTGGGGCAACAGACAGTTTCGTCCTAAGTCAACTGAAAGAAGTGATGTCGCTTAAGCATCTCTTAGAGCAGAGAGACCAGGCCATTGTAGAAAAAGACAGACAGTCAACTGAACTAAAGGCAGATTGTACCAAGAGTCAAACTGGAGAACAAAGATGAGCAGCATGGAAAAGCTCACAAGAAACCGCGGAGCCACTTCAGGCCAAAAACAGAGACCTGCTTGAACAGGCTGCAGCACTATCAAAGGGAAAAGATTTGACAAAGTGGACGCATACTAACATCTCTTTGAGAAAGTAGTTTGTTTAGCGTTGTTTCTGCTTACAATGTAAATTCGAAAAAAAAAATTCTGTGAAGCCTTTAAATTGTGTGTAGTAGAAAAATATTTTGCATACCAAATGAACTGGTGTGTTTCCTATTCACTTTTATAAGGGATCTACAGCATTTTTAAAGTTGTAAAACATTCAAATAAAACTTAAACTGGTTTGAAGTAACCAAATCCAAAATCAGAGAGAAAATAATTAAAATTAGAGAATAAACAAAATTGAAACAGAAAAAAAAAGACAGGTGAAATGAAGAACTGGTTTTTGGAAAAAATAAACAAAATTGACACACACCACTGGCCCGATTAATAAAAAAAAATCAGAGAGATGAAAAAGGAAATGTAACAGACATTACAGAAATAAAATCATTAGAAATTACTACAAAGAGCTCTATGCTAACAAACCAGGAAACACAGAAGAAATGGATAGATTCCTGGACACATACAACCTACCTAAATTGAGCCATGAAAACACAGAAAGCCTAAACAGACTGAAAACCAAGAACAAAATTGATTCAGTAATAAAGGCCCTCCCAACAAAGAAAAGCCCAGGACCAGATGGCTTCACTGCTGAATTCTACCAGACATTTAAGGAACTAACTCCAATTCTTCTCAAACTATTCAAAACAATTCAAAGACAGAGAATCTTCCCAAATTATTTCTATGAAGCCACCATCACCTTAATTCCTAAACCTGAAAAAGATGCAACAAAGAAAAAGAACTGCAGACCAATCTCCCTGATGAACAGATAAACAAAAATCCTCAACAAAATACTAGGTAATTGAACCCAAGAATACATTAGAAAGATCATTCGCCTGGACCACGTGGGATTCCTGCCTGGTATGCAGGGAGGTTCAACATGCACAAATCAATGTGACGCACCACATTAACAAACTGCTGAACAAAAACCATATCTCAATAGACGCAGAGAAAGCATCTGATAAAATACAAACCCTTTCATGATGAAATCTCTGAACAAACTGGGTACAGAGGAACATTCCTCAACACAATCAAGGCAATTTATGACAAACCCAAGGCCAGCGTCCTAATGAATGAGGAGAAGCTGGAAGCATTCCTCTTATGATCTGGAACAAAAGAAAAAAGGATGCCATTCTCATCACTGCTATTCAATATAATCCTGGAAGTTTCAGAAAGAGCCATTAGGCAAGAAAAAGAAATGAAAGGGATACAAATTAGGAAGGAGGAAATCAAACCATACCTCTTTGCAGATGATATAATTCTATATATAGGGTATCCAAAGGACTCCACCAAGAGACTACTGGAACTCCTAGAAGAGTTTGATAAGGTAGCAGGATATAAAGTCAATACACAAAAATCAACAGCTTTTGTATACACAGACAATGCCACGGCCCATGGCCGAAATAGAACTAAAATCAATCCCATTCAAAATATTTCCAAAAAGAATAAAATACCTTGGAATAAATTTAACCAAGCATGTCAAAGATCTCAAGACACACAAAAAAAGGAAAAATTTCCCATGTTCATGGATAAGAATCAGTATCATCAAAATGTCCATAATAAGGAAAGCAGTTTACATATTCAATGCCCATCAATATACCAAAGAAATTCTTCTCAGAGAAAAAACAATGCTGTAATTCATATGGAAACACAAGAGACCCCAAAGAGCTAAAGAAATCTTATACTACAAAAACAAAGCCAGAAACATCACAATACTAGATTTCAAGACATACTACAGAGCAGTTAGAACAGCCTGGTACTGGCACAAAAACAGATGGATAGACCAATGGAACAGAATAAAACAGCAGATATCACCCCATGCCTCTACAGCCAACTTATATTTGATAAAGGAGCTAAAAATCAACCCCTGGAGCAAGGACAGTCTTCAGCAAATGGTGCTGGAAACACTGGGTCTCCACGTGCAGGAGTATGGAACTAGAGCCCCACCTCACACATTTCACAAGAACTTGCTCAAAATGGATCTCAGATAGCAATCCATGACCCAATACCATCAAATCATCAGAAAACACTGACAAGATACTGGCACAGGCAAAGGACTTCTTAGAAAAGACCCCAGAAGCACAGGCAATCAAAGCCGAAATTGACAAATGGGATTACCTCAAGCTAAGAAGCTTCATACTACCAAAAACACTCTGCAAACTTAAGAAGCAACCAACAGAATGGGAGAAAATATTTGCAAACTACACAATGATAAAGGGTTAACTTCAGAATCCATAAAGACCAAGAAATAAAACATCAACAAAACAAACAATCCAGTGAAGGAATGGACAAAGGACTTGAAAAGGCATTTTTCAAGAAAGGAAATTTCAATGGCCAACACACTTGAGAAAACATTCTGAATCACTAACCATCAGGGAACAGCAAATCAAAACCACAATGAGGTTTCCCCTCACGCCCGTTAGAATAGCTCTCATACAGAAATCAACGTATGACAAATGCTGGCAGGATGTGGGGAAAAGGTACACTGGTCCACGGTTGGTGGGAAAGCAAACTGGTGCAGCCACTGTGGAACACAGTATGGAGATACCTCAGAAATCTGAATATACACCTTCCATACGATCCAGCCATCCTACTCCTGGGAATTTACCCAAACCAAAAGAAATCAGTACATGAAAGAGTTATCCGTACCGCCATGTTCACCATTCACACTAGCTAAGGTACAGAATCAACCCAGATGTCCATCAACTGCTGACTGGATAAGGAAGGAAATTATGGTACACTTATAGACTATGGAGTACTACTCAGTTGTGAAAAAGAGAAAGAAAAATCCTGCCTTTTGCAACATAGGCACAACTGGAAAGCATTGTACTTAGTGAAATAAGCCAGTCCCCAAAAGACAGATATGTTTTCCTGATCTGAGGCAGGTAACAGAGTACCTGAAATGCAATGTATTGGAGTGAAATAGACATATTGAGATGCAATAATTGTTCACAGCCCTAGTCTCTTCCATTGAGTTCTTTTTCTCTTCATATTATTTGTTGAACTCTTATTTAGTGTAGGCTTAGCTACACTATCATTAAATAAATTGAAAATATATTTTTGCAATAATCAAGAGTGGAAATGTGAGAGGGAAGAGGAGGAAGGGCTGGGGCACGGGCAGGAGTTGCGGTGGGGGGGAGTGTCAATATGTTCCTAAATGTATATATATAAAGTATATGAAATTTGTATAACGTAAATAATTTTTTTTTTAAATCTTATGCTTTACGAAGGCAGGCAGGGTTGACACCCTCTTATTCAACTGGAAGAAACAAGAAGTGAGGAAGCCTACATGGATGTCACCTCGGCACACCAGCACGGGCCAGGGAGTCCAGGGGACAGGCTAGGACTGCTGCTGGATAGGGAACAGCTTACCCCACGCTAGGCAAGCGGCCCCTCGTGTGAGCAAGGCCTCCCAGTGCCTTCAGGGTTCAAAGGCTGTGATGAAGTGGGGAGAAGACTGTGGGTCAGTCACCAGTTTTGGCAGGTCACCATCAGCAGTCCTTTCTAAGGCTCTGGTCAGGAGGAGTCTTTGACCTGAAACTCACCACTAGTAGTTTCAAGGCTGTTTGTGTTGACTTGGTGTATTCAATCTTATTCTCCAGTATTAAAAGTGAGATTAGCTCGAGTTCATGATCTTGTGGTAGGGAGAGAGAGACTTAATCTTAACTAGCTAACCTGAAGATCTTTTGGTAAAATGGTATTCTTCCTCAGCGAATTGATCCGTAGCCTCTCATCCGCATATTCATAGGCCAGTTTTCGTCTCTTCACATCACGCAACATTTTCCAGTCTACGTAGTAACCTCGAATTTGGCCTGAAGCTGATAAAGGAACCATCTACAAGAAAGAGACAAAGAATAAGACAGGCCCAGGATCTAAGAGTGTTCCCCAACCCTCTTACAGCTACTCATTATGCCACTATTTATTAAAAGTTCCTTTAGATTAGGCCGGCGCCGCGGCTCACTAGGCTAATCCTCCGCCTGCAGCGCCGGCACACTGGGTTCTAGTCCCGGTCTGGGCACCGGATTCTGTCCCGGTTGCCCCTCTTCCAGGCCAGCTCTCTGCTGTGGCCAGGGAGTGCAGTGGAGGATGGCCCAAGTGCTTGGGCCCTGCACCCCATGGGAGACCAGGAAAAGCACCTGGCTCCTGGCTCCTGCCATCGGATCAGCGCGGTGTGCCGGCCGCCGCGCTGGCCGCGGCGGCCATTGGAGGGTGAACCAACGGCAAAGGAAGACCTTTCTCTCTCTCTCTCTCACTGTCCACTCTGCATGTCAAAAAAAAAAAGTTCCTTTAGATTAGTCATTTAAAATAATAGTTCATAATTAAGACTAAATTAAATGAATATACAGGGGCTGGTGCTGTGGTGTAGTGGGGGGGGGGGGGGAAGATACTGCTTGCGATGCCAGCATCCCATATGGATGCTTGGCTGCTCCACTTCCAATCCAGCTCTCTGCTATGGCCTGGGAAAGCAGTGGAAGATGGCCCAAGTCCTTCTGCCCCTGCACCCATATGGGAGACCCAGAGGAAGCTCCTGGCTTCAAATCGGCATAGTTCCAGCTGTTGCGGCCATCTGGGGAGTGAACCAGTGGATGGAGAATCTCTCTCTCTCTGCCTCTCCTTCTGTGACTTTCAAGTAAAATGGATAAATCAGGCCGGCGCTGCGGCTCACTAGGCTAATCCTCTGCCTTGCAGCGCCGGCACACTGGGTTCTAGTCCCGGTCGGGGGGCTGGATTCTGTCCCGGTTGCCCCTCTTCCAGGCCAGCTCTCTGCTGTGGCCAGGGAGGGCAGTGGAGGATGGCCCAAGTACTTGGGCCCTGCACCCCATGGGAGACCAGGAGAAGCACCTGGCTCCTATCATCGGATCAACGCGGTGCACCGGCCACAGCGGCCATTGGAGGGTGAACCAACGGCAGGGGAAGACCTTTCTCTCTGTCTCTCTCACTGTCCACTCTGCCTGTCAAGAAGAAAAAAAAAAAAAAAAAAAAAAGGATAAATCTTTGAAAAAAAAATGAATATACATGAAATTAAACTGATAACAAGATTATGCCAACAGCATGTGCTGAAAGGTAGAAACTTTAAGTGGTTTTTTTTTTTTTTTTTTAAGATTTATTTGAACAACAGAGTTACAGACATAGAGACAGAAAGAGAGGTCTTCCATCCACTGGTTCACTCCCCAAATGGCCAATCCAAAGCCAGGAGCTTCTTCCAGGTCTCCCACGTGGGTACAGGGGCCCAGGGATGTAGCCCGTCCTCTACTGCTTTCCCAGGCACATTAGCAGGGAGCCAGATCGGATGTGGAGCAGCCGGGACTAGAACTAGCATCAATATGAGATTTTGGCGCAGCAGGTCAGGGGTTTAACCCGCTGCTCCACAGTGCCAGCCCCTCAAGTATTTTTTTAAGATTAATTTATTTGGAAGGCAGAGCAAAGAGACAGAGACACAGAGAAATCTTCCATTCATCTATTCACATCCCAAAGAGCTGCAACAGCCAGAGCTGGGCCAGGCCCGCCTGGTGTGCTACACGGGAGGTGGCCGTCACCTGCCTCTCCACGGGGGCACTATGAAGCTGCACTGGAGGTAGAGGAGCCAGGACTTGAACTGCTGCACCACAACACCAGCCCCCAGAGATGTTCTTCCTGTTTTAATCTGAAAGGCAGTTATAGAGGAGAGGAGCAACAGAGATCATTTATCCACTGGTTTATTCCCCAAATGGCTGGGGCTGGGCCAGGCTGAAGCCAGGAGCTTCATCTGGGTCTCCCACATAGGCACAGGGGCCCAAGCACTTGGGCCATCCTCCACGGCTTCCCCGGGTGCATTAGCAGGGAGCTGTATCCAAAGTAGAGTAGCCAGGACTTGAATTGGAGCCCATACGGGATGCCAGTGTTGCAGCTTTTATCCACTACACAATAATGCCGGCCCCTCCCCAGAGATTTTTAACATAATTCCATTTGATCTTCAGGTAGGTTAACAGTTACATGATTCAAGAACCAAAAAAGTAGAAACAGTGTAAAATCTCCCTCCTACCCGCCCAGTGACCGCCAATCACTTAAGTACCACTGTTAATAGTTTCTTGTATACTCCTTCACAGACTTTTTTCAACACAAACGTATACACCCCCTTCCATTTTTCACACCCCCTTTTTCACTTAACGACACAGCTGAGAGATGGGGCTGGCGTTGTGGTGCAGTGGGCTACGCTCCTGCTAGGGACACTGACATCCCATGAGCACTGATTTGAGTCCCGGCTGCTCCAGTTCCATCCCAGCTCCCTGCTAACGCTCTTGGGAAAGCAACGAAAGATGGCCCAAGTACCTGGATCCCTGTCACCACATAGGAGACCTGGATAGTGTTCCTGTCCCGACTTCAGCCTGGCCTGGCCTGGCCCAGACCCAGCCGCTGCAGCCATCTGGGAGTAAACCAGCAGATGGAACATCTAACTCTACCTTTCAAACAAATAAATGAATTTTAAAATATAATTTTTATATATAACGCAGAGTTCTTTCCACATCTGTATGTTAAAATGTTTTTTAGATTACATAATATTCTACTGTATGGATCCATCATAATGTGTTTAATCTTCTGGTCATAAGATAAGCTGAATGGAATTTTATTTTTAAAGGTCTCAATTGGTTTTCTTTTCTGTTCTACAACTGAGCAACACTCCATCCTACAGAGTAAGTGTTCTGTGTGAATAGAGTTTACAAACTCATCTGGCACCTGACTGACGAATCCCATCGTAACTGTGCCTGGAAATATGTGCCCTGGAAGGGGGACTTACACAAGCCTTAGAAAGACTGACAGGGCCAGCGCTGCGGCTCACTAGGCTAATCCTTCGCCTTGCGGCGCCAACACACCGGGTTCTAGTCCCGGTCGCTCCTCTTCCAGGCCAGCTCTCTGCTGTGGCCCGGGAGTGCAGTGGAGGATGGCCCAAGTGCTTGGGCCCTGCACCCCATGGGAGACCAGGAGAAGCACCTGGCTCCTGTCATTGGATCAGCACGGTGCGTCGGCCGCAGTGCGCCAGCCGCGGCGGCCATTGGAGGGTGAACCAACGGCAAAGGAAGACCTTTCTCTCTGTCTCTCTCACTGTCCACTCTGCCTGTCAAAAAAAAACAGAAAGAAAGAAAGACTGACAGAGGGGCTGGTGCTGTGGTGCAGCAGGTTAATGACCTGGCCTGAAGCACCAGCATCCCATATGGGCGCCGGTTCTAATCCTGGTTGCTCCTCTTCCAGTCCAGCTCTCTGCTGTGGCCTGGTAAAGCATGGAGGATGGCCCAAGTCCTTGGTCCCCTGCACCTGCGTGGGAGACCTGGAATAAGGTCCTGGCTCCTGAGTGGCTGTTGCAGCCAATTGGGGAGTGAACCATTGGATGGAAGAGCTCTCTCTCTCTCTGCCTCTCCTTTCTGTGTAACTTTTTTTTTTTTTTTTTTTTTTGGATAGGCAGAGTGGACAGTGAGAGAGAGAGAGAGAGAGAGAGAGTTTTATCAGTTTAATTTCATGCATTGGTTCAACCTCCAATGGCCGATTGAATATTTTTTTTTGGACAGTGAGAGAGAGAGAGAGAGAGAGAGAGAGAAAGGAAAGTCTTCGAGAGAACGTTCTTCCACCCTCCAAGGTTCGCCCCACACGGCACACTGCAGCCAGCGCACCGCGCTGATCCGATGGCAGGAGCCAGGTGCTTCTCCTGGTCTCCCATGGGGTGCAGGGCCCAAGCACTTGGGCCATCCTCCACTGCACTCCCTGGCCACAGCAGAGAGCTGGCCTGGAAGAGGGGCAACCGGGACAGAATCCGGCGCCCCAACCGGGACTAGAACCCGGTGTGCCGGCGCCGCTAGGTGGAGGATTAGCCTAGTGAGCCGTGGTGCCGGCCAAAATCTTTTAAATCCTCAGTTCCGGGCTGGCGCTGCGGCGTAGTGGGTGAGGCCGCCAAATGCAGGCATCCCAGCTCTCTGCTGTGACCTGAGAAAGCAGTGGAAGATGGCCCAAGTCCTTGGACCCCTGCACCCACGTGGGAGACCTGGAGGAGGCTCCTGGCTTCTTATCAGTGCAGCTCTGGCTGTTGTGGCCAATTGGGGAGTGAACTGGTGGATAGAAGACCTCTCTCTCCTCGCTGTGTGTAACTCTTTCAAATAAATAAATTTTCTTTAAAAGAAAAAATCCTCAGTTCCTTAACCTCTCCTTGACGTTTCTACTCCGGCTGCATCCTGAACCTCTGCAGCCACCCCCCCCCCCCCCCGCCAGTTCCTCTGCTGCTCCCTGCAGCTCTCAGACCCTGGAAAGCTCCTGGCTCGGCTCTGCTGCCACCCCAAGCGCGCAGTGCTGCGGCTGTCTCCCACCCGCGGGCCCTGCCGCCCCTCTCACGTGCCCATTCTGGATCCCGGCTCCCAGTCACTCTCCACTCTTCCTGAACTGATTCCTGGCGACTCCGATGCACATGAGAAACACTCTGATTTCTTTGTTCTCTGAACTCCTCTCCTTCAATGACTTCCGTCCTGCACTTTTCTCTACTAATTTCTGTGTCTTTTATTATTAGTAAGTCATCTCTGTCATTTGGGTTTTGTTTATCTCATTCTCTGGTCCCCTCTTTCGAGCTCATCCTCCCAACACGCTAACACCCAGCCTTCTGGAACTTCCACTCCCTTGGTCCTGCCAAGGACAGTTAGGAGCTACCAGGACCCACAAGCCTTTAAAGAGTTAGGGAGGGAAAACAGGTCAAGTGGAGAGGAGGTGGATTAAGAAGGAGTTCTTTGTTTTCACACGCCAGAAGTAACGGCACGTGTGTGTATTAAAGGAAAAACGGGCCATGTAGGGGAGAGAGACGTTGCCGGAGCTGTGTCCGTGTTGGCGAGCAGCGGTGGGGTCTTGTCGCTGAGGGCTGGTCTTCAGAACTCAGAGGGCTGACCTGCGGCAGTGCTAACAGCAATGCAGTGCCAACCCCATTGTCATGAAACACGTTCTGGTATCCACGTTAAAGTAAGAAGCAGGGGCTGGTGCCGGCGCCGGGGCTGAGCCGCCTGTCGAGTGAGCTTCCTGAAACGCACTGGGAAGGCAGTGCACCTCTGCCGCCCATGTAGGAGGCCAGATAGCGTGCCTGTCTCCTGGCCCAGACCTGGCTGTTGTGGCCATCTGGGGAAGGAACCAGCAGATAGAAGATCGCTGACTGCCTTTCAAATAAATACGTCTCTTAACATCATGAAAAACAGGTGACATTAATTTTAATGTAAGTTTTGTTTAGCCGGGTGTCTCCGCCATATTGTTGCTTTGACGTGGTCAGTATCTTAGAAATGAGATATTTGCATTCTGTTTTCAATGCTGCATTTTCAAAATCTGGTTTTATCTACGCTTAGTGTATATCCCAGTTTGGATGCTAAATTTTCCACTGTTAAGATGGAAAATGGAGGTCGGCGCCACAGCTCACTAGGCTAATCCTCCGCCTTGCGGCGCCGGCACACCGGGTTCTAGTCCCGGTCGGGACGCCGGATTCTGTCCCGGTTGCCCCTCTTCCAGGCCAGCTCTCTGCTGTGGCCCGGGAGTGCAGTGGAGGATGGCCCAAGTGCTTGGGCCCTGCACCCCATGGGAGACCAGGAGAAGCACCTGGCTCCTGCCTTCGGATCAGTGCGGTGCGCTGGCCACAGCGGCCATTGGAGGATGAACCAACGGCAAAGGAAGACCTTTCTCTCTGTCTCTCTCACTGTCCACTCTGCCTGTCAAAAAAAATAAATAAATAAATAAAAATAAATTTTAAAAAAAGGATATAGTTGGGAATGGACGGGAAGAATAGTGAGGAGAGTTGAAGTTCAGAGAAGTGAGAGGCCCAGACAGTTAGGTGTACTTGAGAGTAACGTTGTACAGACCATGGCATTCAAGCTGGGTAAGAAAGGAAGCCCAGAGACCAGAAGTGGAAAGTTGAGAGAGAGCCAGGAGACAGGCACGCAGTCCGGCCTCCTACATGGGCGGCAGAGGTGCACTGCCTTCCCAGTGCGTTTCAGGAAGCTCACTCGACAGGCGGCTCAGCCCCGGCGCCGGCACCAGCCCCTGCTTCTTACTTTGACGTGGATACCAGAACATGATTCATGACAGTGGGGTTGGCACTGCATTGCTGTTAGCACTGCCGCAGGTCAGCCCTCTGAGTTCTGAAGACCAGGCCTCAGCGACAAGACCCCACCGCTGCTCGCCAACACGGACACAGCTCCGGCAACGTCTCTCTCCCCTACATGGCCCGTTTTTCCTTTAATACACACACGTGCCGTTACTTCTGGCACGTGGAAACAGAGACTGCCTTCCTGGTCCCCCCCCCCCTCCGCTCAGTGACCCAGTCCCTCTCCCTCAGAGGCGTGCGGGGACTCGTGCCCCCAACTTCTTTCCTCTCCGTCTCCCCGGGACGCGTATGCCCCCATCGCCGAACCCGCTGGGGCCCAGGTGTAAACCCCAGCCGACGCCGAGCCCGACACCCGACCGTGAACTTGCCGCACCCTCCCGTCGCTCGCCTCCCGCCTCCCGCCGCCGGACGGCCCCTTCCGGTGTCCCCTGCACAGCCCACAACGCCCCAGCCTGGGAGCCCTCACTCCTCGGACCCTCTCCTCCCGCAGCCTCCAACGCAAGCCAGCTCGAGGCGCAACAACGGACACCGCCACCTCCATCTCCCCTGAGCCGCCGGAGCGGTGGCGGGAGAACCCCCGACTGGTCCGCCCAGGACAGCACCGACGGCAGAGCCCGAAGACTCGGGGGAGAAAGGCGTTCAGGGACAGGGCAGGGGTCGGGGTGCACGCCTAACCTGCCGGAACCGCCGCAGCACGCAGCCCACCACGGCCGCCGCCATGTTGTCCGCCGCGAACGTCAAACAACGGCAACTTTATTCACACGGCCGGATGCAGGGGGGCGGGGCGGTAGGCGGGGTTTGGGGTTTGAACTCTCGCGGTATTTCGGTGCCCTAGGAACCTAGGGGCGCGGCGCGGCGCGGCGCGGCGGTCGGGGTCCCGCTGTTGGGCTTTTTGTTCCGCTTCCGTCCGTTTTGTGCACTCTGTGGAGCCACCCACGACCCTGCTCACGTCCCTTTCTTCAGTGTCTCTGACCCTGCGCCCCTGTCGGCCGCTTCCGCCTCCTGGTCCCGCTGAGAACTGCGAGACACCTTGGCATCATGGCCTCCTCCTTCCTCGCTGTCTTCCTGGGTCTTGCGAGTCTGCCCCTGGGGTGAGGATGCTGGTGGCGCGAGGAAGACAGCTGCTGGCATGTTTGGGGTTCTACGTGCGCACGTGTGGGAAGAGGGCGCAGTCGGGTTTTCTGGGGAGGAGACATCACGGGTTCGAGTCCCGGTCATGGCAGCTCGCCTGGGAGGGCCCCTCCCGTGTGCCACCCCCGCGCCGGTGGGCGCTGTCGGGGAGGATGCGGGTCAGCCTGGGACGCAGCGTGGAGACGCCCTTGGGCCTGTTGCGCAGGAGCCCTCCGGGACGCGTCCGTCAAGGTTCAAGTTCACGGGAACACAGGAGGTGCACCGGGGTGGGGGTGGGGGTGGGGTCTGGCAGAAAGAGACGTCGGGAGACCCTGCCAAGGCAGGCCCCTGTGCCTCACTCAGAGCCGTGACATGCCTGGCGTTCCCGCCCCACGCGGGGGTGCCGGCTCCACGCGCTGTGACCTTCCGCTTCCTGCCGGTAAAACCAGCTCCTGGGGCCGGCACTGTGGGGCAGTGAGTTCAGCCACCACCTGCAATGCCGTATCGGATACCCCAGGCTGCTCCTCTCCCATCCAGCTCCCTGCTGTGGCCTGGGAAAGCTGTGGAAGGTGGCCCAGGTCCTTGGGCCCCTGCGCCCGCGTGGGAGACCCGGGAAACTTCCCAGGTTTCTGGCCTTGGCCTGGCCCAGTCCTGACTACTGCAGCCATTTGCTAAATGAACCAGCAGAAGGAAGATGCCCCCTCACTTCCCTCCTCTTTCTGTAACTCTGCCTTTTTTTTTTTTTATCTTTTAAGATTGATTGATTTAGGGCCGGCGCCGCGGCTCACTAGGCTAATCCTCCGCCTAGCGGCGCCGGCACACCGGGTTCTAGTCCTGGTCGGGGCGCCGGATTCTGTCCCGGTTGCTCCTCTTCCAGTCCAGCTCTCTGCTATGGCCAGGGAGTGCAGTGGAGGATGGCCCAGGTGCTTGGGCCCTGCACCCCACGGGAGACCAGGAAAAGCACCTGGCTCCTGGCTCCTGCCATCGGATCAGCGCGGTGCGCCGGCCGCGGCGGCCATTGGAGGGTGAACCAACGGCAAAGGAAGACCTTTCTCTCTGTCTCTCTCTCTCTCACTGTCCACTCTGCCTGTCAAAAAAAAAAAAAAAAAAAAAAAAAAAAAAAAAAAAAAAAAGATTGATTGATTTAAAAGTCGGAGTTACAGAGAGGCAGAGAGAGGCCTTCCATCTGCTGGTTCACTCCCCAAATGGCCACCATGGCCAGAGCAGAGCTGCTTTCGGGCCTCTTACGTGGGTGCAGGGAACCAAGCACTTGGGCCATCTTCTTCTGCTTTCCCAGGCCACAGCAGAGAGCTGGAGCGGAAGTGGAGCAGACGGGACTAGAACCGGCGCCCATATGGGATGCTGGCACTGCAGGCAGAAGTTTTACCCGCTACACCACAGTTCTGGTCCCAACTCTGCCTTTCCAGTTAAGCCAGTTCAAGTCCTAGGTGGTCCACTTATTATCTGGCTCTCTGCTATGGCCTGGGAAAGCAGTGGAAGATGGCCCAAGTCCTTGGGCCCCTGCACCCACATGGGGACCTGGAGGAAGCTCCTGGCTCCTGGCTTCAGCCTGGCCCGGCCCTGGCTGTTGTGGCCATTTGGGGTGTGAACCAGGGGATGGAAGACCTCTGTCTCTGTCTTTCCCTCTCTCTCTCTCTGTAACTCTACCTTTCAAAAAAATACTTTTTTAAATAGCACTGTTAGTTTCTAGGTTATGGTATCACAAATGAATTTTTTTAAAAATGAAAAAAACCTAAGAGCAGAGTCCTGACTAAAGCAATAAGAAATTAAGACTTCAGTGACGCTTGCTGCGTTTGGGTTTAGTCCCAAGTCATTCCTTCGCCCTTTTGTCTCCCTGTCTCTGGCTCCTCAGCACCTACCCTCAGAGCAGTGGCTTTCCCTTTGATGTGTAACCTGCACCAGATCCAGGCTCACTTATTGCCTTAACTTCTGTATTTTCAGGGAGGCTTAATAAAATTATTCTCTTTTCTTAGTTTCTTTTTTTTCTTTTTTTTTTCTTTATTTTTTGAGAGGCAGAGTTAGACAGTGAGAGAAAGAGAGACAGAGAAAGGGCTTCCTTTTGCCGTTGGTTCACCCCCCCAAGTGGCCGCTACAGCCGGCTCATTGCCAGGATCCAGGTGCTTCTTCCTGGTCTCCCACGGGGTGCAGGGCCCAAGCACTTGGGCCATCCTCCACTGCACTCCCTGGCCACAGCAGAGGGCTGTCCTGGAAGAGGGGCAACCAGGACAGAATCCAGCGCCCCAACCGGGACTAGAACCCGGTGTGCCGGTGCTGCAGGCGGAGGATTAGCCTAGTGAGCCGCGGCGCCGGCTCTTTTCTTAGTTTCTACAGGGGAAATGACAGGACGAGTTCGTCTGCAGCCTCTAGCCACACAGAATGAATATGTGCTTGGCAAGTGCTTGTCCCAGGAGTCTAGGTTGTCCAGGCTGAATGACCCTGGACTTGCCCACCCTCCCTCGCTGACCCCGAGAGGTTCAGGGTGATGCTCCCTGGGACAGGCTGCCCCCTCCTGGAGTTACGTGCTGTGCCCCACATTGGACACAAGATGGCAGTATTGCTATGTCTGTGCTCCACACCCAGCTGTCTCCTCACCGTGTTCCCACCCCGGGCTTAATGCACACTGTCCACACACACACACACACACACGCATGGGATGATACGTCGCCTGTGGTCGGTGGTACCTATGTTTGACTTTGGAGCTCCTATTCTTTTTTTATTTATTTATTTATTTATTTTTTTATTTTTATTTTTTGGACAGGCAGAGTGGACAGTGAGAGAGAGAGAGACAGAGAGAAAGGTCTTCCTTTGCCGTTGGTTCACCCTCCAATGGCCGCCGCGGCCAGCGCGCTGCGGCCGGCGCACCGCGCTGATCCGGTGGCAGGAGCCAGGAGCCAGGTGCTTTTCCTGGTCTCCCATGGGGTGCAGGGCCCAAGCACCTGGGCCATCCTCCACTGCACTCCCTGACCACAGCAGAGGGCTGGCCTGGAAGAGGGGCAACCGGGACAGAATCCGGCGCCCCGACCGGGACTAGAACCCGGTGTGCCGGCGCCGCTAGGCGGAGGATTAGCCTAGTGAGCCGCGGCGCCGGCCCGGAGCTCCTATTCTTTATACAAGTCTCAGGCAGCGCTGGCTGTGGGACCCAGTGCAAAATGAACGCGGGGCTCCTTGTTCAAAAGGCAGGAGAGGGGCTGGCGCTGGGGCACAGTTCTAAGTGCAGCCGTGACTTTGACGCCAGCTTCCCACTTCAGAGTGCCAGTCTGAGTCCTGGCTGCTTCCCTTCCATCCAGCTCCCTGCCACTGCAGCTGGGAAGGCAACAGAAGATGCCCCAAGGTTGAGCCCCTGCCATGCATGTGGGGGACCCCGCTGGGGCGCCAGGCTCCTGGCTTCAGCCTGGCCCGGCTCCAGCTGCTGTGGCCGTTTGGGGGGAGCGAGAGTGGATGGGAGATCTCTCGCTGTGTCTGTCTCTCCCTCTCGAGTAAATACATTTTTTTTTCAAAACAGCAAGAACAAAGTGCTATTAAAGGCAGTGAAATAGGAAGCTTTTTCCTTTCTTCCTCAGGCTCTTGGCTTGTCATGGAGTTTTTCATTCGCGTTTAATGTCAGTCTAAGTAAAGAAACACAAAACCACTAAATTCAATTTTAAATCATTAGCATGAATTTTACCACTCGTTTTGATCCTGTGTGATGCCAGCTCACACAACTGTGGAAAACACTGTGATAGAGAATTAAGTCCTGCAGAATCAGTGAGGTGACACTGCTGATACCTCGCAGCTCACGCGTGCCCAGGCAGCCCATTCCGGGAAGACCGCACAGCGCTAACTCAGCGGCTTTTATTTCCTGTTCGTGCCCGTTCTGCCTACACCTCTACCTGTGACTTGCTGGAGAGTAAGGGAGGACGGAGTGAGGAAGCTCCGTTCCCCTCAGCAAGCCAGCGCCTACTTCCGCGCCGGGACCCGGTGCTGGTGGCTTCTCAGGGCTGCAGGGCCCCAGCTCACTCAGTCACGGGCACGACACGGTTGCCTTAGGCTTGATTTGGCTCTCACCAGCCTCCCTCACGTGGTGGATCCTGCGAATCCCAGGCCATCGAGGCATCCTTTGAAGGCAGCAGCGAGCAGCCGTTGCACGTACATCCCCGCTGTCCGTGCCTGGGCACCACCGTCCCATCGACTTCACTCCCAAGAGACAAGTGCAGAGAAAAAACTCATCATCGTCGCAACATAGTGATGGCAGAGCATTAAACCACGCATGGGGCTCTTCTGAACCGTAGGTCCTGTGGGATGTGAGGTGTCCTGGCACTCTGGTATCGGCCGTTTGCACACCCGTTTTCACAGTCCACGCCTACATCTGCAGTGGGCATTTTCATCCAGGGGCCAGAGCAGCTTAAGGCCACGCATGCCAACAACAGTGCCGGTGAGCATCCGTTGCTTCAGAAAACATTTACACAGAGACCCTGCTCTGCGCCAGGTACAGCTGCGGATCCTGGGCACGCAGCACTGCACACACGGAGCCCCTGTCCTCTCGGAGCTGAGACTCCGGGGGGATGAGGAAGAGCCACTTCTCAAAGCAATGCAGAGCAAAGCAGAGTGAAAGGTACAAAGGCTGAGAGGTGGGGTGTGCATTGTGTGTGTGTGTGTGTGTGTGTGTGTGTGTCAGAGCACCGGGGCTGTAGCTGGAGCCGAGCGAATAAGAAGCAGAGGGCAGATGAGGTCAGATCAGCGAGGGCTGAGGCCTTGTAGGGGCCTTGCTTTCCCATAAAAAACCTCATTCCGTTTGCCTCCTCTGCTCTACCATCTTTGTATCTGGATTCATAGGAACCAGGAACCTTGTTTTTTTTAAAAGCATCGAATGGAAGCATGTAATTTTAGTGCTTTCATCGTATTTTTATTTATTTTATTCTAAAGAGGAAATCTTCCATCTGCTGGTTCACTCTCCAAACACCTGTGATAGTGCCAGGCCGTCGCTGGCAGCCCAGAACTCTTCCAGGTCTCCCACGTGGGAGGCAGGGGCCCAAGTACTTGAGCCACCACCTACAGCTCCCCGTGTGCACATGAGCAGGAAGCTGGGACTGGAAGTAGTGCTGGACTTGAACAAGGCCCTGGGGTGCAGGTGTCCTGAGTGGCGTCCTGACCACCACGTGTGGCACCTGCCCATCTGACACTCGTCACTGGGCTCTTGCCCACGCGTAGCCCCACGTCTCGCTCCTGGCTCACCAGTTCTGAGCAGGCTGCTCGGGCGCCTTGGGTCGACATCAGGCAGTCCTCTCGTACCCTGGGGCTTCTCCGGCATCACACACCTGAGGAGCCAGAAGCCTGTTCAGCATTGGCACACACGGGGCTGCTGAGGGCAGGGGCGCTGGCGCCCATGGACTTCCTGAGCCAACAGGACTGGAAGCGGTGGAGAACACGTTCCATGTGGCTCCACAGAAGGCTTCGGGTACTGAGTAGCAGTCGTGTGCAGTAGAGGATAATAGTATTTTATTTTAAAGATTTATTTATTTATTTGAAAGAGTTACACACAGAGAGAAGGTGAGGCAGAGAAAGAGAGAGAGAGGTCTTCCATCCACTGGTTCACTCCCCAGTTGGCCACAATGGCTGGAGCTGTGCCAATCCGAAGGAAGAATCCAGGAACTTCTTCCGGATCTCCCACACAGGTGCAGGGGCCCAAGGACTTGGGCCATCTTCTACTGCTTTCCCAGACCATAGCAGAGAGCCGGATTGGAAATGGAGCAGCCGAGACTCAAACTGGCGCCCATATGGGATGCTGTCACGGCAGGCAGCGGCCTTACCCGCTACGCCATAGCACAAGCCCCAAGGCTAACAGTCTTAGTGGCATCCTGGTGCTGCTTTTTCATTTTCTTGTTCCAATGCCCTGATCCCTCCCCCTTTCTCGGGTCGCTTCCTAAGTGAAGCACTTGCACAGAAACCTCTGTCTTGGAGTTACTTCTGTGGGCGGCGGCAGGAACCGAGGCTAAGATACAGATATGCCGTCCGGCAGTTCATCCCGGCATTGCTGATGTGAGTCGTCTCTTCCTCTTTCTCCGTTCCTCTTCCTCTCCTCTCTACTTCCCAGTCTTGAATGTCATGTGTGTCTCTCACTTTCCCCCTCCACAAAAGCACCCACCCACTCTTTCCTTCTGCCAGAGTGAACCCTCTCGCATGCTACACCCACTCACTTCAGTAGCTTCCCATCATCTGCAAGATAAAGTCCAAACCTCAGGCCACGCCCACCTCCCCATCAACACCTCTGGCCGCACAGGGGCTTCCTCTCTGAAGTCTCCCCTTCAGAGGGTCTCTCTCCTGAAGCCTTTCTCTTGGCCAAGTTCCCCTCTGAGGTCCGTCTGGGTCATCAAAAGCTGACCTGAAGAGCAGGTACGCTCCATTTCCCATCACCCAAGGGGCTGAGCTGCAGAATTTGCCGCAGGTCAACACTACACCATGAGGTAAGACTTCAGGAAATCAGCCCCAGGTTAGGGGCCTACAAATGCTTTGTCATCAGGCCCAAACCACTGCTGGGGATTTGGTCAGGAGAAACACAGGTTTGCATTTGTAGAACTGAGATCCCGTGGGAAAATAGGGTTCCGAGTGGGATAAACGTTTGAGACGCCTTTTCATCTTCACAGTAATAATAAAGACAAATGTCTAAATATGGAGAATGCAGTCGCCGTTTTTCACATTTTGAATTAGTACGAGCGGACGTGGGGTTCAATTTCCAGTTACCATCCTGACTTCAAAAAAAATGTTGATTTCTCCTCAGCATTTTCAAGGGGATGCTTGCACATTTGTTGTGATTTGTTGCAGGTAAAATGCAGGCAGAGTTTTTCTTTTCCAATTCTCATTTTCCATCCACATTTTCAATGTCTTCTCAAGTTGGGGACTTAGAGTTGAGGACATCTGTCTAGGCGTGTCTGTGGGACGACTGGACATGGCCAGTGGGCAGCACCAGAGACAAGGACACACCAGCTGACATCCCGCCCAAGAGGTTTGCCAGGGGACTCCCTGGTTTACAGCTGCATTTTAAGACAAGCTTTATTTATTTATCTGAAAGGCAGAGTTATAGAGCGAGAGGGAGGGAGGGAGGGGAAAAGGAGGGAGAAAGAGAGCGAGAGAGAAAGAGCTTCCCTCTGCTTGTTCACTCCCCAAATGCCCACAGCAGCCTGGGCTGGGCCAGGCTGAGGCCAGGAGCCAGGAACTCCACCTGGGTCTCCCACATGGGTGCAGGGATCCAGTACCTATGCCGTCATCCGCTGCTTTCCAGGCACGTTTGCAGGAAGCTGGATTGGAAGCAGAGCAGCCTGGTCTCAAACCAGCAGTCTGAGATGAGGCGTGCGTGTCCCTGCTGCACCACGAGGCCTGCCTAGTGTCTGAGCTTTTTTTTTTTTTTTTTAATAATTCTGCCTAGAGCTATAAATCATTTAGGGTAGTCTTGTTTACCAAAGAGAAGTCCAGAATTCATTTGTATCCCCTCTATCCAGCTCCCAGGTTTATGGTCTCAGCCAGGAGCTTCGTGTCTGTGTACAGAAGCACAGACTACCAACTCCTCCTTCCATTCCTAGCCGTCTCCTTCCTCTTAGGCCAGTTCCCAAGTCCTAAAGACCTGGTTCACTTTTCCTCCCTGTGTCGGGTTTCTGCGGCTGCCATAACAAATCACACTCTCTGTGGCGTAAAACAACTCGCATGGATCGGGACGTCTGCAGTCCCACGTGGAGAAGGCAGCAGGGCTGTGCGCCCTCTAGGACTGTAGGGCAGAATCACGCCTCAGCCTTGCCTCTTCCGGCTCCTGGTGACTCCTGCTGTTTCCCGGCTCACGGCCACATCACCCGGGCTCTGCTCCGATCTCTCCCTGGCCTTCTTCCCTGGGTGTGACTGTGTTACCTTCGGCCTCCGCCGGAACACTTTCATTTAGAGTTCGGAGCCATCGGCGTGATTTCATCTCAAGCTCTACCTTAACGACATCTGCATTCTGAGGCTGTAGGTGGACACGAATTTCGACCCACTGCACTCACCTACTTTAACTCAGTCTAGGCTTAAATGCGAGCATCTCCACTTCTTTTTTTTTTAATATATATATTTAGTAGGTAGAGTTATAGACAATGAGAGAGACAGAGAGAAAGGTCTTCCTTCCATTGGTTCACCCCCCAGCTCCAACCTGGGAGCTGGATAGAGGGGATACAAATTACCTCTGGACTGCTCCTCTCTGTTAAATAAGACTACCCTAAACAATTTCTAGCTCTAGGCAGAATTATTAAAAAAAAAAAAAAAGCGCAGACATTAGGCAGGCCTCGTGGTGCAGCAGGGACACTCACATCTCATCTGCTATGGCCAGCGCTGCACCAATCTGAAGCCAGGAGCCAGGTGCTTCTTCCTGGTCTCCCATGCCGGTGCAGGGCCCAAGCACGTGGGCCATCCTCCACTGCCTTCCCAGGCCACAGCAGAGAGCTGGACTGGAAGAAGAACAACTGGGACTAGAACTGGCACCCATATGGAATGCCGGCGTCGCAGGTGAAGGATTAGCCAAGTGAGCCACGGCGCCGGCCCCCTCCACTTATTATAGCTTCTGATTTATCTCCTCTTTCTCTTCTGCACTGCCAGTTCCTCTCTTCGTAACTGACTCCTCCAAGACTGACTCATATTGTGTGTGTGCAAGACCCGGCCATTCTCCGCTCTGAGGGGATACACAGGTGGTAAGCACTCACTTAGTAGATTTCTCAAAGAAGGAAGCCACGGTCAGAGAAGGAGAGACCGACAGATTCCCGTCCAGCCCATTGCTGTGGTTTTGTAAGGCTCTGCTCAACTTAGTTGTATTTCCGAAGGAAATGTATGGCTTTCAACGTAGTATACAAGATCTAGCAGATTCTGCTGGGTAGTTGGTACTCATAAGTATGTGTTGCATCGAAATGATTCAGATGCCTCTCCTTGACCATGCGCTAACCAGACATTGAGTGGGAAGTGACAACTGACACACAACTCTCTCTTCATTGTTCGCGTACCCCCCTCTAATGCTGCCTCCAAGGATACGACCAACTGGCCTAGTATTTTATTTTACAAGACAGTGCTCCTGTACCCCTTCTGTGGCAAAGACCACACTCACCACGGTAACGGGGGTGACCTGGACCCTCATCTTCCAGAGAAGGAGGGCAACGAAGGCATCCACAAGAAGACAACGGGGGATGTGAGGGGCTCCCCCAAGCCCCTTTGAAGCCCAGTCATAGAGCATGTGTCTTGTCCCCGTGGTGAGAACCAGGTCCAGAGGGCAGCTATGAGGCTGGGCCTCTCTGTTCCTCCCACCAGGCATGCTGCCCACCTGCACAGAGCCAGCGCCCAGCAAGCCTCGTGTGGTGGCGGTGGCGGTGACGGCGACGGTGATGGTGAGGTTCAGAGAGCACATCCATCAACTGGTGACAGCCCAGCAGCGAGGTCACTGTGCCATCCTCTGGAATGTCCACGAGAGACCTGCCTGCCTCCTGCACGGACAGGGAGCGCCAGCAACCTGGCCTTTTTGGGTCCCAGGAGAGCCACAGCACTGTTTTCCTGCACCGACAATGCCTAAGACCTTGGTCTTCCTGCTTGTCGGCTGGCTCTGGTGCTTGCTTCTGCTTCTCGGAAATGTACATGCCTCCCTCCCCTCTCGCCGGAGGGAAGTCTGCACTTGGAGGTTTTGGATCCTATTCAGTGTCCCTGCAGGCTCTCTCCTCCAGAGGCTCGTGGCCCAGACTGAGACAGAATGTTTTGTGTGGTTTCAAGGACAAGGTCACACCCGTTCTCTTCTGCAATGTCCTCAGTATATTTTCATTTGGGAGAATAATTTGTTAGTCAATGGGAAAGCAGCCTTTTCTTTCTTTCACATCATTTCTCTTCATTTTCCACCCGGTTTTTCCTAAACTCCTAACTCATCTAATGAAAAAGGCAAATGTTAACAATTTAGCGTAAATGGATTGCTTTGGGAGTAACAGTTTAGTGTCCATGTTAGCCATGGGGACGAAAACATCAAAAGGCCTTGAATTCATGAGAATGGAAGGTAGGGAAGCTACCTGATGACGCCAGCACAGAGCAGCTGTCTCCTTTTCTGGGAGGTCCTTCAAAGCACCCTGCACCCCCAAAGCAGTGGGAATGTGTGCCCCATCTTCACGCCCCTGATTCCTGCCAGGGCCTGGGCAGGAGCGCGGTGAGACATGCTCCCCTTACATTCCATGTCTGTCAAAGTCACCCTCTCCACAGCTTTCTCCCAGGGCCTGTTCAAAACAAAAACAGATCCCTTCCTGTAAAATTTAATGTTTATATTTTATTTACTTCATCTACTTGGAAGATAGAGTGACAGAGACAGAGAGATCAGAGAGAGATTGAGAGAGATTTTGATTTTCTGTGACTGGTTCACTCCCCAAATGCCCACAACAGCCAGGGATGGGCCAGTATCTCCATCCAAGTCTCCCACATGGTCAGCAGGAACCCAGGCACTTGGGCCGTCACCCACAGCCTCTAGGGTGCATCAGCAGGAAGTTGTATTGGAAGTAGAGTAGATAGGACTGATTTGGGATACAGACAGCTTAACCCTCCTTACCACAATGCCCCCTCCCTCTACCAAAGGATCCTTGAGTTTCACTCCCACCCCACCCTACCTCCAGACCAGCTTATGTCAGGGTAAGAAGAATGTTCCTGTTCACACGGGGTCTTATGCTGAGTTTATCAGATGTCAGTCTAACCAGTTGAATTTGCATTTTGTCCCGATTTATTTTTGAAAAGGAAATTAGAATTATATTTCTAGATGCATTTTTTTCACCCTTTGCTCTGTGCTGTCAGAAGAGCTACTGTTATCTTCTCGTGCTATTCACTGATTGCTGTCTTTTCATAACACTTTCTTGGGTTCCTCATGGTGCCCTGCCTCCTATTGCCAGAGTGCAGTGGGATCCTGACTTGTGCCTACGAGCTGATAGGGAAAATAATGAATCCCGAGGTCCACAGAAGGCATTCAGTAAACCCCTTCTGATCAAGAAATAAGTTACAAGATTGCATTCTAGTGGCTGGACATCTGCTTTCAGGGTTCCACTTGGGGAACTCTTCCTTGGATGTAATTCAAAGAGAACTAGGTCGCTTGGCTTTTCTGTGCTATATGCAGAAGAAAGGAGGGAGCGGGATAGGAAACCACCTGGACTGCTGCCTCTGCTTAGGGTTCAAGCCGTAGGGTCCTGTCTTCCTGGTGTCCAATAGTGTCCTGTGCAGAGCTGAGGAATCAAGCCTGCACCCCTTCAAAGACATGAATACACACTCTCGACAATCCGTCCTCTCTCTCTCTCTCTCTCTCTCTCTCTCTCTCTCTCTCTCTCGTAGAACCACAGGGCAATGCTTTGTTGATACTGACCCCCTGTCTGTCTGTCTGATTCCCCAGGAGGGCAGGAATGACAACCATGATAATGCTGATTAGTTTCTTTTGTTCAGTTTAACACCCTCAGTTCATAGAACGTCCCTAGCACACGGCATGCACTCAATAAAGCATCTCTAGAAAGAATGGATCGATTCAGGTTATATTTGTTCTGATCTTACAGATTATGTGATTAGCAAGGGAAAAATCAGACCTCCTCATGCATTTGAATTCTGTGTTTGGCGTTTGACGTCTGACTATGACTCCCTTTCTGGTTTGATCCGGGACTCTGTACAAAACCGCAGCCTCTTGCTGTAAGTAACCACAGGGTCTGCGTCTGGAAGAGGAGGAGGCTTTGCAGTAATGAAGGGAAATGGTGACCCAGTAGGAAAAGCTGAGGTAATGAAGACGAGACGAGAGCCGCACACACGTGGCCACTTCTCTGCTCCATCCGCCCGTCTGTGCAGGATGCCCACAGTCACGACAGGAGCCTTCCACGGAATTCTCTTCCTCCTTTTTATCGCATCTAGCTATCCTTCACCCCTTTTGACTTGTAGGTTGGGTTCTGATTAATGTTGCTTACTATTGGGAAAGAATGAAATAAGAGCAACACTGCTTATTGTTAACAGTAGCATAATCATATGCCCCATAATGGCATGTTGGCCCATAATGGACTATATTATGTGCTAATGGCCCCATAAAATTATAATGGAAGTGAAGAATTCACATTATGTCATATTTTCACTGTACTTTTCTATGCTTTGCTATGTTCAGATTCATAAATACTTGCATTAGGTTACAGTTGCCCACAGTACTCAGTCCGGCACATAGTGTGTAGATTCATAACTCGGGTGTGAGGTGGGCTAGACCATCGGGCACTCCGTGATGATCAGCCCAGCAAGGAGGCAGCAATAGCGCAAGTCTCACAACATACCACGTTGTTAAGAGACGCGTGACTGCATCAGATTCACAAACCTTGGCAGTCTGTGTTTCTTCTGAGAAGACCCAGACTTCTCAGATCCAGACCCAAGCTTAATCTATTAAGCTTAATTATTAATTAATCTTGCAGGCCCAACAATCATGAGCCCCATTTTTCTAACACTGAGAAGTACGTGTACTTGGGACCATCTTCCACGGCTTTCGTAAGCGCACCAGTAGGTAGCTGGATCCGTGGTGGAACAGTTGAGACCCTATGTGCGATGCTAGCATGGCAGGAAGTGGCTTACCCCTCTGGACCCCAACACTGGCCTCACTCAAAGCCTTTATTATGTATCTACCATACACAAATGGTTGTGCAGGAATTGTGGGAAGTCCTTACACACATGTATGTGCAATAAAGTTGTTTTTACCTACAAAGCACTTGTACCCTCTTGTCCAGGGTACCCAGGACAGGCGAGGGCTGCTCCTCTGTCCACGCCTACTGTGCACCCCCAGCTCTATTACTCTGGATATTACTCTGTGATAGCCAGCCGTCTAGAGAACCATGAGTTCTGTGAACTCAGGCACTGTGTCACATTGGCTTATGCAGCACTCACAGGGTGCCTGGTGCTCGGTAGGACTGGACTGGGGAGGACAGCAGAGGCCGTCTTCTCACTGTGTCCCCCCCCCCCCCAGCTTTCATGTCAGAGCTCTAACTTTAGACTTCTTTTAGGATTCTTTCTTGGTCCCCTTCACCTATGACCTTCTCTCCAGGTAGTTTTTCTTTGTTTGTTTGTTTGTTTGTTTGTTTTAAAGGAAGAGTGAAAGAAAGAGAGAATCCATTCACTCATTCATTCCCAAATGCTTGCAAGAGCCAGGGCTGGGCCAGGCTGCAACCAGGAGCCAGAACTCAATTCAGGTGCCCCTGTGTGTGGCAGGGACCCAAGTGCGTGTGCCGTCATCTCTCTCCCAGAGTGCTCTGCAGCAGGAAGCTGGAATCGGGAATGGAGCCAGGATGCACGCCCGGGGCTGCGGTTCCTTGGGTGTTCCTGGCATTTCGGTTTCATGGGACTCACTGGGCCTTACCGTTGAGCCAAGAGAAAAAGGGTCCTATCTTCCCCAACATGGCGCTTCTTGGGAACCCAGGGGCTCAACCATCGGTGTCCTGTGTGTCAGGCTATCAGGTTCTCAGGCTCCGGCCTTTGTTTCCCCGGGGCCTGGTTTGTCTCTGCAAACAACGTCTCCTTTGAGTCACTCTCCTCCCACTGGGAAGAGGAATCCAGCACAAAGTGAAATTCGGGGGCTGGAGGGAGGTTTGGCCAAAGTTCATACAACTGTGTTTGCTTTACTGTTCTTCCCGCCAGGCTCCCAAGCACAGAGCCAGGGCCCGCCATTTCTCAGGGCAGCAGACCTGTCCTCTTCGGCCCTCAGCAGGCTCCCTGCGGCGTCTGGCGTCAGGCAGCGGCTCCGTCGGAGGCCGGTCTGAGCACCTGCGCGGTGTGTGTCTGCACAGTGTTTACGCCGAGCTCGGTCTCGTGCAGATGTTGGTGTGCACGCCATCAGTTACGAAGCGTCTTTGCACCAAGACTTTGCTCTCACGTGCCTCCCTCCCTGCTCAGGCTCACATACCCACCGGGCCCCCAGGGCCCTCTGCGAACATCCAGCCCTCTGTGGTTTTGCTTGGCCAGATCCTTCATCTGTAATTGGTTTGGATGTTCAGCTTTCAACGTCTCCCCAAACCACAGTGGCACGCCAAGGTTTAGGAGAGCCGTGGTGTCTGCGTTCCCCTCGCCTCAGGCCATTCTCTTGCCCGTGGAGCACTGTGATGGAAGGTGCACAGGCGTTTTTCTGTCTTGTCTGACAGCTCCTTGTGGAACATAAACTAACAGCCCCATGGTTCCCGTGGCGCCAACGCTCTGTGTCAGAGACCCGTTGTTGTAGGGGCTGTTGGATGAGCTGTGGTTGGTATGTGGACTTGGCTGGATCAGCAGGATTCTTGGGGGATTTTTAAATTTTATTTTATTTTATTTTATTTTCGTTAGCCATTTGTCACTGCCAAGGGTCTGGTTACAAGAACCGCACAAAAGTAATGACAGTCCTTGAAATTCTGGGTTCACTCTCCAGCTCGGCCAAACCAGCGGGGACTCACCTTAGAAGACGTACTTTTTGATGAGAAATATTTTCTTTTCTTTTCTTTTCTTTTCTTTTCTTTTCCTTTCTTTTCTTTTCTTTTCCTTTCTTTTCTTTTCTTTTCTTTTCTTTTCTTTTCTTTTTTGACAGCAGAGTTAGTGAGAGACAGAGAGAAAGGTCTTCCTTCCGTTGGTTCACCCCCCAAATGGCCACCACGGCCAGTGCGATGTGCCGATCCGAAGCCAGGAGCCAGGTACTTCCTCCTGGTCTCACATGCGGGTGCAGGGCCCAAGCACCTGGGCCATCCTCCACTGCCCTCCCTGGCCACAGCAGAGAGCTGGCCTGGAAGAGGGGCAACCGGGACAGAATCCGGTGCCCTGACCGGGACTAGAACCCGGTGTGCCGGTGCCCTAGGTGGAGGATTAGCCTATTGAGCCACGGCACCGGCCTGAGAAATATATTCTTAAAATGCCGCTCTCTACTCCCTAATTCCAAATCTCAGCTTCTGGGCCCTCCCTTAACTCACATTGTTTCTCAGGAGGCTTAGCACACTGCAGCCAGTAAATCTTCATTTCTCATCCCTGCTGACCGGGAAGGTTCTGGATAGAGACTCTGCTTCTCTGTCTGGCATGCAAGGACCTCCAGACTCCAACTCCGATTCACCTCTCCAATGTATGGCTCACTTATTTGAACTCCTGCTTTGATCAAAATGACACTCTCCGTTTTGGGGTAATTTCCTGATAGTCTTACCTTTCCAATGGTTCCTTTTCAATCTCCCTTTAGACTCTTTTTCCAGGAATATAAGCTTCCCTGGAGTTTTATTGATTTTTTTTGCCCCTTTCACTTTTTAGTGTTCTCATTCACTCTGATGGCTTCAACTCTCCATCCTATGTCCATTCTCTTTCTCCATCTGGAAATTCCTCTGGATTCTAGACCCCTCTAGCTTCATTGGCTATCGTGGATGGCTCAATGAGCACCTCAAACTCAACATGCTCAAAGCTAAATTCGTATTTCCTCCAGCCTTGACTCACCTATGGGAATGATCTCTAAGCCTAATCTGCTCTTCTCCTGATATTTCCCACCTGCCCTGAAGCTCGGATCACTTCCTGTCTCCACCGCAGGGATCAGCACACAGGCAGCTACCAAGGTAAAACTCTGAGGCTCCTGGATAGTCGCCTCTCCATCCTTCCTGGATTCCTACCAGCTCTGCCCCCAAAACAGTGCCCAAACCTCTGCTTCTTGTTGAATGACTCTAGGTTCTCTCCCATAATATCTCATAATATCCCATAATATCTTCTTGTTGAATGACTCTAGGTTCTATCCCATAATATCTCATAATATCCCATAGTATCTTCTTGTTGAATGACTCTAGGTTCTATCCCATAATATCTCATAGTATCTCATAATATCTTCTTGTTGAATGACTCTAGGTTTTATCCTATAATATCTCATAATATCCCATAGTATCTTCTTGTTGAATGACTCTAGGTTCTATCCCATAATATCTCATAATATCCCATAGTATCTTCTTGTTGAATGACTCTAGGTTCTATCCCATAATATCTCATAATATCTTCTTGTTGAACGACTCTAGGTTCTATCCCATAATATCTCATAGTATCCCATAATATCTTCTTGTTGAATGAATCTAGGTTCTGTGGGTTCTATCCCATAATTCTCCATAGCTGTTTTCTTCTTCCCATCACGTCTCCCTTTTTTCCATTTGGACACCTTGCGTCCCTTGTCCAGGTGACCACAGCTGCCTCCTTACTGGTCTGCAGTCTTACATCTTTTAAAGCCATTGTTGATTCACTACAACAATATTTACAGAGGGATCGCTGTGCTTGGGGCCATCTGTGGACAAGGCAGATGAGACGCCTGTCTTCACACGCCCTACATTTTGTTTGGAAACACAGACATTCCATCCTTGAAAGTACAACTGGTGGGAGAACCCCAGGAACTAAGAGCTAGCCTAAGAAACCAAACAGGAATTTCTAGGGAAGGAAAATGTCAGTCAAATGTTAGGGGTGCACGGGGGACACCCAGTGAGGGAGAAGGTCAGGGCATGGTTAGGACGTCCTCGTTGGAAGAATCGTCAGATGGCAAACGTGAGGAGCCTCTCCCACCCTCCTCTTTCTCCAATCATCTACTTTTCTGGTTGAAAATAATGCATATTCATGGTCGGATAGTTGGAGAATGCAGAGGGAGATAGAATAGGAAATAGCATTTATCCACAGTCTCACCACCCGGAGACCAATGCCGCTAACACGGCTGTGCACGCCCTTTCAGCTTTGTCTACACACACATGCATTTTCAAAGCGATCTCCCTATACCTAAAGCCTATCGTATTAAGCTGCAGCCTACTACGACATCATCCCATATCAGAATTGCATCCGGGTCTTGCACGTGGGTGCAGGCACCCCAGTACTTGAGCTATCTTTGGCTGCTTTTCCCAGACATGTTAGCAGGGAGCTGGATTGGAAGCAGAACAGCCCAGACAATATCATACCTTCCCTTTTATTATTTATTTTTTACTTAAAAAATGATTTATCTATTTATTTGAAAGTCAGAGTCACAGAGAAAGATCTTGCATCCGCTGGTTCACTCCCCAGATGGCCACAATGGCCAGGGCTGGGCCAGGCTGAAGCCAGGAGCTTCCTTCAGGTCTCCCACGTGGGTGGCAGAAACACAAGCACTTGGACCATCTTCCACTGCTTTTCCCAGGCCACCAGCAGGGAGCTGGATTGGAATTGGAGCAGCCCAGACTCGTGGCTGCTTTACCCGCTAAACCACCACATCTGCCCCATTCTTAACTCCACCCTTCTCGCAGGTGTTGAAAGGCAGAAAACTACATTTCCCAGAATCCTTTGCTGACAGTGCTAGGTCCACCAGTGAGGGGCATTCGTTTGAGATGTGGAATGAGAAGCAGGGGCAGGGGTGCTCGGCTGCTCTGCTGGCTGTGGTGGCACCCAAATGGCAGGATGTTCCTCTGACAAGTTCCTGCTTTGGTGCTGTAGGCAGCAGGGATCGTCCATGGCGGGCTCCCAGAGTTCTGGAACCCCTGGACTTTCTGAAAGGGAGGGACAAACCTGGCCTGTGTCCTGCGCCTCCTTACACGTTCTTATCTGGCACAGTTCCTTGCTTCCTGCACACATATTCTGCTGCTGTTGGAGACAGTACCATCCGACGAGTACCATCCGACACTTCATTTCTATTGGCCAAACATCTCAGCTGGTAGAAGGAGCTGTAATCCTTTTAGGAATTTAAGTTTCTCCTCTGTAGCAGCGGTTTATTTAGGATGTGAACATTTACACAAATGAAACAGAAAGGCTTTAGGAAACAGGTAAATGCTTACCGATGACTCAGCTCCCCGAGGCTGTCAGCACCAACAGTGCTGCACACTCAGCACCTGAAGAATCGTCAATGTTTGTTAACGGTCCAGTGTGTGTCTACAGCCTCCTTAGGCTTTCATGGAGTTGGAAACAGGAAGAAATTACTATGAACTTGTGCCTATTGCTAAGTGCCCTATAGGTAGGCGTTAGGTGTTGGGAAAACATAGTAAACAAGAGTGGTAGCTTTCTGCTGTCCCAAAGATTACAGGCTGGCAAGTTCAATGCTTGATAGGTCTTATTGACAAGGAGTGAGGCTGGTCATTCCCCATCTCCACCCCTATTCCCTGTGACCCTGGCATGAATGGCAACAAGCTCACCAGGTCTACAGAGCACCCAGTGTAATGCCAGAGTTTCTTGGGAACAGAGCTGTGAGCCGGGTGTTGCCTGGGGTTTCCCCAAGCATGCCGGCATCTCCAGCCTCATGGACTACGGCAGGTACAGCATGGTCCTCTCTGGATGGTTCGCTTCTTGCTCAGTATTTCATTCATCATGGAAGTCTGGCCTGGAAGCTAATAGCGTCCAACCTTAAATACTAGAGGGAAAAGGGCAAGGAAAGTAGTTATGTGACTATTGAAAGACAGGGCCGGATACACCTTTGCAGACTAGAGTGGCATTCTACGCCAGGCCACAGGGCAGAACATACAAGGAGAGAGAAACACTTAAATGCTATATTTTGAGATTTTAAGGGGTAAGAAATGTAAAATCCACGAAGTAACGGAAGGTCAGTGCAAAGATGGTCATTCCATGGGCTTAGCTAACGTTTATTGAGGCCTTGCTATGTGCCCACCACTGTTCCAAGTGCGTTACGTTAATGATACATTTAGTCCTAATGACCCCCATGAGTACGGACTACTGTGATCCCCATTTGATGGGTCAGGCAACTGAGGCAGGAGAGAAGAACTTTACCCAAGGCCATAGAAATAAGCGGTAGAACTTGAGTGTGAACCTGAGTAGTTTGATCACAGTGAGGGGAGAGGTCGTGTCTTCCTGTTTTGGAATTTCTCCTTGTATCCTGTGAGCCAGTCTGATCTGGATACAGTAAGCATCAAAGAAGTGATATTTCCTTTCTTTCTTTCTTTTTTTTTTTTTGACAGGCAGAGTGGACAGTGAGAGAGAGAGACAGAGAAAAAGGTCTTCCTTTGCCGTTGGTTCACCCTCCAATGGCCGACGTGGCTGGTGCACACGCTGATCCGATGGCAGGAGCCAAGTGCTTCTCGTGGTCTCCCATGGGGTGCAGGGCCCAAGCACTTGGGCCATCCTCCAACTGCATTCCCAGGCCTTAGCAGAGAGCTGGCCTGGAAGAGGAGCAACTGGGATAGAATCGGGCGCCCTGACCGGGACTAGAAGCTGGTGTGCCAGCGCCGCAGGCAGAGGATTAGCCTAGTGAGCCGTGGCGCAGGCAAGAAGTGATATTTCTAAGAGGAAGTTGTAAAAGGGACCTCTGGGTGTCTTCTTGACCATTGTGGTCTGACATGCTAAGGTCAGGTCACAATAGCTAGCTATTTCTTGGGCCTAGATTTTCCCAAACGGCGAATATGTCATCTGATCAGTCATCAGCCACTGGCATCTTGGTGTAGATGGCTGCATTATTTCACTTGAATTTTAAAATGTGGGGCTCAGAGCAGATAGCTTGAAATGGAAGGAGAGGAGAGCGAAGGGGCTAAGAAAAGAGTGAGGGAGGTGGGTGTACTGAGCGCTGTTGCAGAACGCCTTCAGGAATACGCATCACTTTGAAATCTTAGACGCTTACCCTTGAAGGTCAAGATCAAAACAAGGGCACCAGCCCACCATTCTGCAGAACTTTACTCAATTATGTCAAAAAGCAGAAGAATATAGAAGAAGCGAAGTCAAATTATCGTTACCCAGAAGGTAAGATTATTTATAAGGAAACTTGTGAAAATCAACTAAAGATGATGGAATTAATGTGAGGATTAAGACAAGTGTAGGCCGGCGCCGCGGCTCACTAGGCTAATCCTCCACCTTGCGGCGCCGGCACACCGGGTTCTAGTCCCGGTCGGGGCGCCGGATTCTGTCCCGGTTGCCCCTCTTCCAGGCCAGCTCTCTGCTGTGGCCCGGGAGTGCAGTGGAGGATGGCCCAGGTCCTTGGGCCCTACACCCCATGGGAGACCAGGAGAAGCCCCTGGCTCCTGGCTTCGGATCAGCGCGGTGTGCCGGCCGCGGCGGCCATTGGAGGGTGAACCAACGGCAAAAGGAAGACCTTTCTCTCTGTCTCTCTCTCTCTCACTGTCCACTCTGCTTGTCAAAAAAAAAAAAAAAAAAAGTGTAAAAGGTACCTTACAATAAGTTTTTAGTGCATTTTACGTAGCCCAAATTTTATTTCATAAACCGGTGCCAGCACCTGGAAGACGCTTCGGTACACCTCGGCTATGTGAACAATCAGGCCCATAGGAAGTCAGGAACCTAACAGAACTTAAAGAATGAAGTTGTGTGTCCTGAGGGCATACAACAATTTTCACCAAAAATATACTTTTTTCAAAACAGTTGTGGAAATATCAGCAGTAGAACAGGTAGCATGATTAGATAGAGAAGTCTTAACTACTTAGCACAAGATAAATGAACTCATCAGTTTTAAAGTTTCTGGACCCATTTTAAACATCAGTGCTTTGAACAAATGTAACAAAATATAGATAGGATTCCTATGGAGAAAATTATAAAGTTTTGGGGCCGGCACTGTGGCGCAGCAGGTTAACACCAAGGCCTGAAGCACCGGCATCCCATGTGGGCACCAGTTCGAACCCGGCTGCTCCACTTCTCAACCAGCTCTCTGCTATGGCCTGGGAAAGCAGTAGAAGATGGCTCAAGTCCTTGGGCCCCTGCACCCACATGGGAGACCCAGAAGAAGTATTTGACAGGCAGAGAGACAGACAACTCCCATTTGCTGGTTCACTCCCCAAATGTCGGCCATACCTGAAGCCAGGACCTGGGAACCCCATCCAGGTCTCCCCTGTGGAGGCAGGAACCCCCCCACAAGAACTCCCACTGCTGCTTCCCAGGGGCTGTGTCAGGACCCGGGCCAGGTACCATGATATGGGACGTAGATATCTTACCTGCTAGAGCTAAGCACTGCCCCTGTGATCCAGTATTTTAATTAAGGTGTTTACACTTTTTTTAAAAAAAATACATAATACTATCACATACTTAATAGATTATACTTTAAGTACAATTTTGATAAGCACAGGGAGGCAAAAAGTTTGTACGGCTGGCTTTGTGTTTTTTTTTTTTTTTTTTTTTATAGATTTATCTTTATTTATTTGAAAGACAGAGTTACAGAGAGAGGTGGAGACAGAGACAGAGGTCTTTCATCCACTTGTTCACTCCCAAGATGCTGAGCCAATCCAAAGTCCGGAGCCTCTTCCGGATCTCCCACGTGGGTGCAGGGGTCCAAGACTTGGGCCATCTTCTACTGCTCTCCTTGGCCATAACAGAGAGCTGGATGGGAAGAGGAGCAGCCAGGACCCCAACCGGTGCCCGTATGGGATGCCGGCACTGCAGGCTGGGGCTTTAATCCGCTGTGCCACAGCGCCGGCCCCATGGCTGGCTTTATTGTGAAACTCCCTTTACTGCAGTGGTCTGGACTCAAACCCACAGTATCTGCAAGACTGGTCTACATGGGGCAAGAGGGGCTGGGGAAGGAAGTGCTGTGAGGCTGGGCTGGGATGGACATCGGGAAGCCGAGCAGAGGACAGAGGCAGGGGGATGTCGGCTTGCGGAGCTATCTCATGGGGGCCTGCCTCAGCCACGCTGGGAACTGCCCGGAGGTTTGTACCCAGAGACCACAGAGGGCCTCAGATGGACGCCCTCAGCAGTTCCCCCAGCAAGACCTTGTTATTACCCGTGGCTTTGCCCTTGCGAGGAGTGGAACAGATGCCTGTCTGTAACCCTATCATCCGAGAAAACAACAATTAAGAAAAAAAAAAAGGAAAAGAAAAGAAAAGAACAAAGCCCCAAGCCCAGAACATAGGCAGTTGGGTGCTATTAGGGAAAATCAAAGAGTTATGTTTAAAAAAATAAAACCTGAGAAGCGGGCTTAGGAGGACATTGGAGATGGGAGACTGTGACTCAGTGGGTACGGAAAGTGATTGGATTTTCCTATCTTTTTTTTTTTTAGCAGGGAGCACTCTCAGGGAGGGACAGCAGGCTCTCTCATCCTTTCTGATCGGCACCCATGAAGTCTGAGAGATGTTGTGATACTTTGGTAGAAGGAACCGCTAATTCCCAGACCAACTCAGAGGCGAGGGCCAGTGGCGTGCCGGGAACATTTGACAGCCAGCTCCCCAGCCCTTGTCCAACTTCTGTGGGATAAACACTCCCACAACGGCTGATTCTAAGCTACTACAGTGATGCCCCTGGATGCGCAGGTGGGAAGAGACGGTGCAGTTGGCTTCCGAAGGCGCACACAGGTTGGCTTCCACCCAGCAGGAGGGTGAGGATGGCTGGAGGGCTCAGCCCTAGGCATGAGCAGTGCGCACAGGCAGGAGACTCCTCCGTCTCTGGCCTCACCCTGCTCCCTCTCCATCTGGCAATGTTGGGAGTGGAAAATGTCATCACCCCGCTGAGAATGGAACAGCACTTCCTTTGTAGCCAGACATTCTTAGAGGATCATAACACATTAAACACACTGACACCGGAACTCTCTTCTCTTTCTAGAAAAGCACTGGAGAGGCCACGCTCCCCCAGCAAGCCCAAGACGCCGTGTTGGTGACGGTGGCGGTCAGGTTACGCATGGTGCCTTCCCCGCCGCCCTCGGCCCGGGACACCGGGCTCTGCAGGTCCCAGGGACGCTTCCTCTGTGGGTGAGATGGGAAACTCTGCTTACAGAGGATTTTAAATCCCCAGATCCCCATGCCCAGCTTTACATTCCCCTGGAAGCTCTGCTGTCTAAAGGGTATTCTCTGTGCGCTGGGGACTCTGCATTGGTTAGAACGACTTGAGCAGGGCTAGCAAAACCCCCTGGCCCGATTTGCTGACCTGATGAGGAACGAACTGATCTCAGACAAAGAGGACTTCCCCGACAGGAGGGCATCATGACTGATTAACTCAGGGGCTCAGGAGGTCCACGAAGTCCCAGGTTCCCCTCTGCTGCTCCGCCTGTGTCCTCCTCAGCTCTGTGTGGGGATGGGGGCTGCCACACCCCCGGCACGCAAGGCAGCAGCCATTACAGACGGAGCAGCTCTCCTCTGCACAGAGCTTCCCCAGGGGCGGCGTTCGACAGAACTGGATGCCCGATATCCAGTCCTAAACGGAGCCGTGTCAAGGAGGTTGGAATGACTCTGATTGGCTCAAACAGGCTGGGATGTACGCCTGAGCTATGTGGGAAGGGGAACGCAGGGCTGTGGTTGCACTGGCTCAGGTCTGCCCAGGGATTTCTCTCTGATTCTGAGACTAGCACCTCGTGCAGGTCATTCTTCTTGGCTGACTGGGGAGATCTACTGAAAGCAGAGCCATCAGTTTGACCAGAAACAAGTTGTCTTCTGTTTATTAAACTGGTGACCCTCAAGACCTGTTTATCAAAGTGTTTTAGGGCCCAAGCGGGACCTGGTACATAGAACTCACAACCATGGGACGCCAGGCCTACTTGTCTGTAGGCGTGGACAGCTGGACGTGGCGCTCCTACTCATCCGGCAGAATGTGTAAACGTTTCTTCCAGGCGTGCAGAGACAAATGCAGATGGCTATGATGTTCCGGCATGCGGTCAAGACCACTCAGGGAGGAGGAGAGTCAGCTGCTGGGATGTTCACATACGAAAGAACGGAGTTGGCCCACAACTCCATCGTCAGTGACTTAGAACGGATTGCAGGGGGCAGGCGTTCCACGCGGCAGTGAAGCTACTGCTTGGGATGCCTGTGTCCCAGGTCAGAGGGCCTGGGTCGAGTCCTGGCTACTCCACTTGGGATCCATCTTCCTGTTCATGCCTGGGAGGCAGCAGATGATGGATCAAGTATTTAGTCCCTGCCACCCATGTGGGAGATGGGGATGTCGTTCTGGGCTCCTGGCTGTGGCCAGAAACAGCTCTTGCTATTGTGGGCATTTGGAGAGTGAACCGGTAGATGGAAGATCTATCCCCATTGTCTAATAAAATGAACATATATGCTTTAAAAACTGGATCATTGACCTAAAATAAGAGCTAAAATTACAAAAAACATAGACTAAAACTTGTAAATCTCATGACCTTAGATTAGTTAATTATTTCATTTTTTAAAGATTTATTTGTTTATTTATTATCTCTGCAGAGGGGGAGAGAGAGAGAGAGAGAGAGAGAGAGAGAGAGAGAGATCTGTTTGCTGGTTCACTCCCCAGATGGCCTCAATGGCTGGAGCTGGGTCCATCCAAAGCCAGGAGTCAGGAGCTTCTTCTGGGTCTCCCACGCGGGTGCAGGGACCCAAGGATTTGGACCATCTTCCACTGCTTTCCCAGGCCACAGCTGAGAGCTGGATTGGAAGTGGAGCAGCTGGGACTCCTATATGGGATGCCAGCACTGCAAGCAATGGCTTTACCCGCTATGCCACAGCACTGGCTCCAGTTAATGGTTTCTTATACCTAAAACACAAACAACAAAATTTTTTAAAAATTGGCTCTTTTCAAAATTAAAAATTATTGCGCTTCAAATCACACTTTCAAGAAAGTGAGAAGAGGGATCGGCATTGTGATGTAGTAGGCTAAGCCTCTGCCTGTGGAGCTGAGATTCTATATGGGCACCAGTTTGTGTCCTGGTTGCTACTCTTTCAACCCATCTCTCTGCTGTGGCCTGGGAAAGCAGTAGGAGATGGCCCAAGTGCTTGAGCTCCTGCACCCTCATGGGAGACCCAGAAGAAGCTCCTGGCTCCTGGCTTCCAACCAAGTCCAGCTCCAGCCATTGCAGCCATTTGGGGAGTGAGCCAGCAGTTGGAAGACCTCTCTTTGTCTCTCCCTCTCTCTGTCTATAACTCTACCACTCAGATAAGTAAATAAATATTTAAAAAAGTGAAAAGATATCCAATGGATGGGAGAAAATGTTTGTGTCTCATATACCTATTAAGGGTCTAGTGTCCAAAGTATCTAAAGAACTTTTGGCATTCAATAATAGAAAGACAAATAACCTAATTAAAAAGTGAGAAAAAGACTTGAATAGACATTTCTGCAAAGAAATACACAGATGTCCAATAAGCACGTGAAAAACTGCTTATCTTCATTAATGATTAGAGAAATGCAAATCAATAGCACATCACACCCACTGCGATGACTACATTGAAACCAAGATAGACAATAACAAGTATTGATGAGGATGTGGGAAAATTGGAATGCCTGTCTATTACTGTGGGAGTGTAAAATGGTGCAGCCACTTAGGAAAATCGTTTGGCAGTTCCTCAAACAGGTAAATATAAAATTAGTATTCAGTACCGCAATCAATTCTATTTCTAGGTAAATACACAAGACCAACCAAAACATGCATACACACAAAAACTGAGCACAAATGTTCATAGCATTATTATTATTATTATTTTTGACAGGCAGAGTGGGTAGTGAGAGAGACAGAGAGAAAGGTCTTCCTTTTGCCATTGGTTCACCCTCCAATGGCTGCCACAGCTGGCGCGCTGCGGCCGGTGCACCGCGCTGATCCGATGGCAGGAGCCAGGTGCTTCCTCCTGGTCTCCCGTGGGGTGCAGGGCCCAAGCACTTGGGCCATCCTCCACTGCACTCCCGGGCCACAGCAGAGAGCTGGCCTTGAAGAGGGGCAACCAGGAAAGAATCCGGCGCCCCGACCGGAACTAGAACCTGGTGTACCGGTGCCACAGGTGGAGGATTAGCCTATTGAGCCGTGGCGCCGGCCTTATAGCAGCATTATTTATTATAGCCCCAAGGTGGAAACAACTCAAATTTCCATAAATTGATAAACGGCGGGTCAACAAAATATGGTATATCCATATAACAGGATATTATTCAGCCCCAAAAAGGAATGACGTTCTGATACATGCAATGGGTGACCCTTGAAAACATTGCTAAGCAAAAGAATCCGGTAACAAGACAACACAGAAGGCAAAAAAGACCATTACTTTAAACGTCCGGAATCAGCGAATTCATAGGAAGAAAGCAGATTGGTAGCTGTCACTGGCTGGGGGAGGGGCAGTGGGAAATGCCTGCCGTTAGGCGTGTGGTTGGATTTATTTTGGACTTGATGAGCATGTTTCCAAAGAGATGATGACGACGGCTGCAGAATCTTGTGCATACTGAGAACCACTGAATGGTACACTTCGAAAGGATGAATTTCATGTTATGTGAATTATAGCTCACTAAAAATATGTGTATGACTTTTGTGGGGATTTGCAAATTAGGGCAAATGTATCAGTGGACTCACGAATATTTAATTTGAAAAATTTATAAAACCATTTTATGATTGTGACTTGTACCCATCCCATGTTATCTTCTCCTGTCTCCTTGGTCTAAAGGACCTGTTGTGTAGAGCAGGAGGTTCCCAACTCTGGGTGTACATTCGCACATTTTAGAACCATCCAGTAGCTTGTAGAAAACAGAGGGTTTGGGCCTGACCCCTGGACAATTAAACCGTGGTCTCTGTTCCCCTCTTCCCCAACACTGCCGACTTATTTTATTGAAAACTCCCAGGTGATTCCCGCGTGCTCCCAAGAGCTGGGCAACATTGGGTCCGGTTGTGTCGGCATCCTTTACCAAGCACTTTTTTCTTCTATTTCTTTAGTAAGGTTTATTGAGACACAATTAGACACTTTAAAATCTGCTCCTTTAAAGAATGCAGTCTGGTGAGTTCTGGCAATGTTTTTACATCCTGTGTCAAGGGCCACAATCAGACTACAGAGCGTTGCTGTTACTCCCCCAAATTCCTTTATGTCTGTTGGTAATCAGTCTCTTCCCCTGTGCGTCAGATGCGCATATGATAGCGTCTCCACGTCTGTGGATTCTACGTTTATTTCAACCAACCAGGGATCGGACACATTCGACAGTCAGATACGTGCCTGTAACATGTGCAGACTCGGTTTTGGTCGTTATTCCCTATCCAATACAGGGTTCCAGCTGTTCCTGCAAGATTAGGGGAAGTGAGTCGGCATGAAATAAAATCAGTGTCCTCTCGGGAGAGAAGTGCAGGGCTGGTGTGGAGGCAGACGGAGCAGAGCCTTCCGCCACGCCACGTTTGTGGAACTTGCCTTGTCTTTGCACGTATTGAGGAAATCTGTCATATAAACAGCATTTACATTGCATTTGTACTGTAAGTAATCTAGTATTGAATAAGCAATTAGAGTAATTCACAGTGCATGGGAAGATGGGCAAAGGTTATAGGAAAATTCTAGCCCATTTGGTTAAAGGAACTCGAGAATCTGCCGATTTTGGTACTTGTGGGGTGTCCTGGAACCCATACACCATGGACACTGAAGGGCAGCTAACTGTACTACGCATGTCTTGGAAAAATACAGCAAAAAATAGAGAGCAAAAAGCAGAAAAACATTCTCCATGTAATAGAATCTTGATTATTTAATCTTTTTAAAAGGCTTTTCATTTATTCAGGTGAAAAGTAGACTGATAGGGAGAGCAGAGAGAGAGAGAGAGAGACATCGTCCATCTACTGATTCACTTCCTAAATGGCTACAGCAGCTAGGGCTGGGCAAAGCCAAATCCACGATCCAAGAGCTCCATCCTGGTTTCCCCCATGCGTGGCGGGAGCCAAGCACTTGGGCTTCCTCTCCTGCCTGCTCAGGTGGATTAGCAGGAAGCAGAGCAGCAGGGATTCAAATGATTACTCTGATATGGGATGCTGGCATTGCAAGTGGCGGCTTAATGCACTGTGCCACAATACCCGCCCTAATTTTTTCAGGTATGTATATCTCTCCATGTAGAAAGAATCAGTGCTTATCTCCTGGAATTACAGGAAATGCTAATTTTCTTCTTTATATTTTTCTGCATTTTCTAGTCAGTCTATCGTAGTAGATTACTTTAATAATGAAAGCAATAATGATGTCTTAAAAATAGCAACCCCCGGGCAAAAGATGCTTGAAGAGCCTCCTAAAGACCAAACTCCTTCTCTACGAGATCCGAGGCCGCTGGCTGCAAACCCAACTCTGGTTCTACGCAGGTCGGCCATTGGCTAATAGCAACTAGTATCGCCCAAGGAGAGGAATAGGAGAGAGTGACTTCTACTGAGCTGGATATCACAAATCATTGATGCAAGAGGAGGAGAGGTTGACAGGGGAAGAAGCAAGGTCCTTCATCGCCTTGAAGGGGGTAATGAAGCGTCTTCTTTGCTGAGTTCCATATTCTGCTGTCTGTTTTTACAGAAGTGCCCTCCCACATCTGAAGCCAAAGATGAACCCTCCCTGTAAACACTGAGGGTCTTGAATTCAGAACCTCCTACACGGGGAGCAGAAGGGAAATGATCCTGCGAGTGGAGGACATGTAATCCAATTTACAGCTGAGAGAAGGAAAGAGAGAGGAGAGGGAGGGGGAGAGGGAGAGAGGGGGAGGGGAAGAGAGGGAGAGAGGGGGGAGGGGGAGAGAGGGAGGAGAGAGGGAGAGGGGGAGAAGGGGAGAGAGATAGAGAGGGGAGGGGGAGAGAGATGGAGGGGGAGGGGGAGAGAGAGATGGAGAGGGAGAGGGAGAGAGAGATGGAGAGGGAGAGAGAGAGGGAAGGAGAGAGGGAGGGGAGAGAGGGAGAGGGGGAGAGAGGGAGAGAGGGAGAGGGGGAGGGAGAGGGGGAGAGAGAGATAGAGAGGGGGAGGGGGAGAGAGATGGAGGGGGAGGGGGAGAGAGAGATGGAGGGGGACAGGGAGAGAGATATGGAGAGGGAGAGGGAGAGAGGGAGAGAGAGAGAGAGATGGAGAGGGAGAGGGAGAGAGGGAGAGAGAGAGAGAGATGGAGAGGGAGAGGGAAGGAGAAGGGGAGGGGGGAGAGAGGGGGAGGGGGAGAGAGGGAGAGGGGGAGGGGGAGAGAGGGAGAGGGGGAGGGGGAGAGAGGGAGTATGAGAAGAGAGAGGAGAGGTGAGGTGGCTGAGACAAGATCCTGACTACAGAGATCTGTTCAGGTTTTATTTCGGTTCCTTTAGACTCAGCAGAACCCTAAGGAAAGATACTAAGACATATCTTCCAACCAACTCAAACCGACCAAAACCAGAGGAGACCAGCTCTGGTTCTCCGAACTAGACACAAGTGAACCAGGCTCCCCCAGAGCCAGCACATGGGCCTGCTGGGTTTTTGGTGATTTCTCAGGACAAACACTTGAAAATGAAGGCAGATGACTGCAGCTGAAATGCTTTTTCCTATATTTTTCTCAAATAAAGAAGATGATATAATAACATGTTGGTTGAAGCAGCATTTGAACCAGTGACTTTTTCCAGGTTGCTCTGGAACGAGTTATTCTATTTGAACATAATAAGGAGATGAAATTAGTCTCATGTTAGACTGTTGTATCATTTTTCCATTGTTGCATTGCAAATGCATCCAAAGTGTAGTGACTTACAAGCAATCATCTATTCGCTCACAATTCTGTGGCTGGCAGTTCGGGCTGGATGGAGCTGGGTGGCTCCCCTAGCACTGGCAGAACTCATTCGAATATCTGGGGCCTCTGTTAGCATGGCTAGGCTCTCTCTCCCTTTGCTTTTGTCACCCAGAAGGCACTCATCCGAAGAGGAGAGCGAAAGCTCCCCTTCCCTTCTTTGACCACTACCCCTTATGGTTGGTTCCAAGGTGCCTGCCACAGTACCAGTCACTCCACGCAGACGTGGTAGTAGCCATCTCTTCTTTGGCGCTTAGTTTTTTTTTTTTTTTAAGCAATGTAGGCCTTCTTTGACTCTCTGCCAGCATTCTCCTCCTTCATGTCAGAACTCGCCTCCTGAAGCCCCAGATCAGGAGGAAGTGAGTAGCTACTGAAATAGAGCCAGCACTCTCTTGGGAAAGAGGGAGGGAAGGTTATTAGGGAAGCAGACAAAACACTGCCTGCCACCATGGTTTGGGCCCAGTAGGTGTGGGAACTTGCCTTGCTCTTGGTCTACCGAGAAAATCTGTCCCGATGGAGTTTTGGGCAACTTATCATGCACTTTGCCATGCGTCTGCTACTGAAGGCAGTAAATGACACAGTGCTCATTCTCCGGAAGCCCATACTGAACTTAAGGGGCCGTGGCATGGACACAGCAGTCAACCAGCACTGCAGGGCCCTAAGTGAGAGGCTCTAGGGAGAAATCTCCTAACTCAGGAGCCAGCCAAGGTTACCTGTCTTTGAAGTCAAATGAAACTGGTTTCACAGGGCCGGCACTGTGGCATAGCGGGTAAAGCTGCCGCCTGCAGTGCCAGAATCCCATATAGGCCAGTTCAAGTCCTGGCTGCTCCTCTTCCAATTCAGCTCTCTGCTATGGCCTGGGAAAGCAGTGGAAAATGGCCCAAATCCTTGGGCCCCAGCACATAGGGGAAGCTCCTGGCTCCTGGCTTCTGATTGGCCCAGCTCTGGCCATTGCTGCCAGTTGGGGAGTGAACCAGCGGATGGAAGACCTCTCTCTCTCTCTCTCTCTGCCTCTCCTTCCCTCTCTGTGTAACTCTGACTTTCAATTAAATAAATAAATCTTAAAAAAAAAAAAAAAAACTAGTTTCAACCTTGGTCCTATAATGTATGGGATATGCCAAACCTCCAGTCCCTCTGCCACCATCAGCGACTCCTGTAGATTCTGTCTTGGCTGGGCGAAGGAGGCTATGTGCTCCGGTCATGCCTTGCTCTGAAGTGTTCTTTCTCTGACCTCTTTGGCACTGTCTTACATATTCCCCTCGGGCGGTTATGACCCAGACACTTGACCCAACTCCTTTTCTTTCATTTATTTCTACCACTCAACCCAGTTGAATTAAGTATTTACGTGGGCAGAAGACTCAGTATAGGGTTTGGGACCATGAAAAAGAATTTATATAAAGTTGAAAAAAGGAATTTAATGTTGTTTAGATAGTTTGGTTCTTTGGGAAGTTTTTATTTATTTATTTATTTATTTTCATTTTTGTTTGAAGACCACAGGGACAGTCATAAATCTTCCATCCAGTGGTTCACTCCTTAATGTCCTTAAAGCCAGGGCTGGGCCAGGCTGAAGTTAGGAACTGGGAACTCAGTCGGGTCTCCAACATGGGTAGCAAGGATCCAGCTCCATGAGCACTCAACTGCTACCTTCCCAGAGGGTGAATTAGCAGGAATACAGAATCAGAAGTGGAGCCAGCACTTGAACCAGGCGTCACTTCCCAAGTGACATCTTAACCCCTGCACCAAATGCCTGTCCCTTTAAGAGAACCGTAGAAGCTTACTCCTGCAAGTAATGGTGACGGGTTCTGGTGAACACCAGTCAGGGAGTGGTGTGATGAGATGTCTTTTTTTTTTTTTTTTTTTTTTTTTTTTTTTTTTGACAGGCAGAGTGGACAGTGAGAGAGAGAGACAGAGAGAAAGGTCTTCCTTTGCCGTTGGTTCACCCTCCAATGGCCGCTGCGGCCGGCGCCGGCGCACCATGCTGATCCAAAGCCAGGAGCCAGGTGCTTCTCCTGGTCTCCCATGGGCTGCAGGGCCCAAGCACTTGGGCCATCCTCCACTGCACTCCCTGGCCACAGCAGAGGGCTGGCCTGGAAGAGGGGCAACCGGGACAGAATGCGGTGCCCCGACCGGGACTAGAACCCGGTGTACCGATGCCGCAGGCGGAGGATTAGCCTAGTGAGCCACGGCTCTGGCCATGATGAGATGTCTTGATTGTGGGGAATTTTGCCAATGAGGTTTGGGTGCGAGCTGCAGTACTTCAAGCTGTCCATCAGTGCCGTTCTCCCTCCCTTCCTCTCTCACAAAGCCCCTGGGTTCCAGATGGACACTTGACCTCGCCCTCCGAGAGACACAGTGGACTCTCTGGCAGCTGTGTGTGAACATGTGACTAACTCTGGCCAATCAGGTGCAGCGGAAGTGACATACATCCGACGCTTATCCAACATGCACAGCACTTCCCAAGAACAGAGAACTGGGCTCTTTGAAAGTAAATCCAGAGAAGGAGAGCAATGTGACGCGGCATCAGTCCTAGGCTCCTCCACGGGGCGTTTCCCATCGAAGAAGCAGTGACAAAGTCCAAGGGGGAAAAGAGATGCTTGGGGCTGGGGGCTTTCTGGTGACACCCCACTGCACTCCACACTGCTCCCCTCTGTGCATGGCAGGCCCTGGTTCCAGCGGCAGAGAGCAGAACCACCTGTGGGTACAAAGTAAGAAGGGCCGAGAGCCACGGACCTTTCTGCATATTATCAAAGACTACTTATAGGACACGTAGAAGAACCAAAAGTGAAAATAATCCCAACAGCGGCTGGTATATGAAGCCTGCTATGTATCCTGGGCACCAATCTAAATTCTTTCTATGCGACAACTCATTAAATCCTCACAAGACCCCTATTATCCCATTTTAGAGATGAGTAAGCTGAGACATGAAGCCATTTGCCAGTGTCAGATACAGGCTTTGGAGCCAGGCAGTCCGGCTCTGAGCCCACCCTGGAACTTAGTCTCCATCTTTCCCGTCCTCTCCCTTCTCCTCTTTCCTTCCAACAACACCTGACGCCCACCCACTGGAGAGGGAACACACAGGCTCCTTGTGTCCTCTGGTGGCTCAGCCCTCCAGAGCCTACTCCAGGCAGGGGAGGAGAGTCATGGAAGGTAAGGAAGAGCCACAGGTGTCAGCCCATGACATACAGAAATGGCTGTGGTCCATAGAAAGGCTGGAAGTCCGTCCATCTGATGGCACAAGAGGAAGGGGGCCCAAGGGAGGAGCTGCTATCCTCTCCTGGGTCCCGTGAGGGGGCAGCATCTGGAAAGACGTGGGGGCCAGAGAGGACTGCGATTGGTGCCTAGGGCTGCTCTTCTCCCTCTCGGTCCCTCAGAGCCCTGCCTGCCACTCACAGGTGTGAGATGCTGCCGGGGGGAGGTGGGGGCAGAGGAAGGGCTCTGCTCCTTTCTCCCGGTGCTAAAAATCTTTTTTTATTTAAAACTGGTAGGCAGAAGTCCCCGAATGCCTGACACAGCAGAGAGAGAGAGAGAGAGAGAGAGAGAGCATAAACACACTTTCTAACCCTGAGACCCAGCTCGAGGCCAGACAAACCCTTTTAATATCCTTATTCTGGATCCACTTAAATGGAAACAGCCTCTGATATTTTTAGCCGCTGCGTAATCGAAGTAAAAAGGAAGAGGGAAACATATATTTTTTTCTCTCCTCATTAGGATAAGAGAAGGAACTGCTCATTGGGTCCTAACGGAGTCCCAGCCGGGAAGAGAGGAAAACGCCCAGGAGTCCCCATTGGCTCCTCCTCTGGCCCAGGCAGGATTTAAACCCAGGGAAGGAAGCCAAGAGAGAAAGCAGTGGGACAGACCAGCGCCGAGGTCTGCAGTGAGAGGGGCCCGGCTCACAGCGGGCGCAAGCGTCGGAAGTGGTGCCCAGCAGTCTCCCAGGTAAGAGTGGCAGCTTTGCCGGGGAGAAGGAGCAAGGTGTCCAGTGGGGAAGGTCCCAGATCTGGGCCCGAGGACCCACCAAGGCAGTATAATCAGCCTCCCACCAATCCTGCAGTCAAACCGGAGCTGGGAGCTGTCTCGGGACCTGCGCACCACACCCGCAGCCAGCCACTCGGTGCCCAGCAGGGAGGCATCTAGGTGTCCTCTCACCTGGCCCGATGCAGTCTGCCTTGGACTGGATTCTACCTGGAGGGGCCAGTTTTTGGCTAAAATGTCTCCTTTAAGCTGAGCATGTCCTCGTCTCTTTTCTTTGCTGACTTTTTTACAATGTCAAAGCCCTTTCTCTGCGGTGGTGGCGATGGTGGAGTGATTTCGTTTCTGTTGTCTCTCACTGTTCTTTTACTTTCTAAGGTGGAACTTACTGTTGTGATCAAGAAACTTCGAACGTTCCCTTTTCTGCCTTTTGTGTGTACCAGTTAGGATGACGTTGCGTGTGCCTTGGGAAGGCTTTGTGGTTGACCCGAACATTTACTTCTGCAGGTTTTAATGGTTATTTGTAAGAGGACAAGGTCTCTCTCCCAAATTCCCACTCTATTACCCTCACAATGCCTCAAGGAAAATATTTTTGAAATATTTTAAGAAGCGACGTGGTAGGCTAGTTTTTGGAGGTCTGACCTCTGCTTCATTAGTTTTTGTGTTTGGGATGGAGTTGGGGGAGAAGGGGGAAAGGGTGAGTGAGAGCAGGCGGGGTGTTTACTGGGAAGCATGAGAATCGTGTCTTGCTTATACAGGCACTAAAAGAAGAACAAGTCTCACCATGAAAGTCACAAACTACCCACATCAGGACACTGATGAGCCACGGTGCCCAAAGCCCACTAGGTGTTTGGAGAAACCGAGCTGTCCCCGAGGTATCCGAGACACCTGCTCAGCCAGTGCTGGGCCCTAGCAAGGATCATGCCTTGGGGCATGTGGGGGGTGTGTTGCAGAGCCAGGGTCAAGGGGACAGTGTCTGTGACCGACCGCTCAGGAGGAAGAACCCCTGCCGGTCTTACCCACGACTCTGAATCTCACGGAAGCTGCAGGCAGGTCCTTGTGGGAGGAAGCCATTCCCTCCTGCTTGAGCTGAGGAGCCTCTCCAGTGCCTAGCTCGGAGCCTGGCCCCGCCCCGCGCTGAGAGAGGCAGCTCCCAGGGCAGCCTGGGGCCCCTCGGGGTGGGCCCCACTAAATTAGCAGAGTGGGGAGAGACAGTGAGACCTGGACGGGGACCCTGTGAAGCCTTGTCACACACAACCACATTTTTCATTCTTGCCCACACCTAGCTGTCTTGTGTCCCATATGGAATCCCCAACCGAAGAGTTCAATGTCACAGAGACTTATGTACTTGGTTCAGCTGGAGTCTGGCCCAGAGAAACGGTGCTGCCTCGCACATCGGACGCTCTGGCAAACACAAAGAGAAAGACACAGAGGTGGCATGGGCTGCCCACGTCTTCAGTCCACGATGAGCAGAGCCAGTGCAGCCTTCTTAGGTACTCAAGAATGTACTTAGGTACTCTCCTGGACCAACTATTTGGGCCAGAAGAGCCCAGAGTCTCCCAGGGCTCCTGGTTGTGTATCAGTGGCAAAATGTACTCGACAGGGCCAAGGAACAAATGACAAGTTTGCCAGTGACATTTGCGATGCCGATGCCTCACCAGCCACTCAATTCCCGCATTTTCCTTCATGGTTCAGTGCTGTCTACCCTATCATTTGGGGACAGAACATCTTCTTACGTGATTCCATTGGAAACCCATCCTAATGCAGTGTTTCTAAAACCCAAAGCAGTTCTCTCATTTGCTTGTGGTTAATTGCAAAGGCAGGATGAGCTCATAAGGGAACTGGAGAAAACCCTGAATTTAAGTATAAAGGTCTGTAATAGTGGCTACAAATTGGCAACAGCTTTCTCTGGGGTAAGTGGTACTCTTGCTTCCCTCCGATGGAGGGAGCGTGTCCTTCGGAGAAAATGAGGTGACTTAGAGACCATCCAGGCCTGGGGCTGGAGAAGACCCTTGGGGTTCACCCTTCTGCCCTGGCCAAGGCCCCTGCAGACCGAAGTCTTGGTGATGCTGGGATTTAAGAAAACCCTGCAGGCCTGACTCCTCGTGTGCCTCTGACCCCACCTTCCCACACCTCCCCAGGCCTCTCTTGAAGTCAGAATTAAAGTCATGATCGGCCTTGATAAAACTGATTCTCGGGCACCGGGCTTCCTGCAAGTGGCTTCGCCCTGTTTTCGGGGTGGGGGGGGGAACCACTGCTCCATAGAGTCATCACCCCTGCTGGGAAACGCATCATCCTGCCTTTCTCTGGATGAAATGTGGGCCCTCGGGGCTCCCTCCCACCCTGTGGAGGGGTCTGGTTTGCTGTGGAGTCATGCCTTCCTTGTGCTGCTAACAAGGGACATCTCGGTCTGCCACAGTGGCTTCTCCTCCGGCTCCTCACCCTTGACCGAGTGTTGAGGATCTCCCCAGTCCCATCTTCTTTCGAGCAATCACCTTGCCCAGGAAAATCTGAGCTCAGCGGGTGGAATCCGAGAGGCTGTCATTAGCCCGGACATCTTGCTGTAATTACGACGGACAGGCGACCTCCAGGCAGGCTCCGACCAGAGTTTCTGGAGTTTCTCATATTCCAGTCTTCAAGAACAAACAGTGGGAGACGGGGCTGTGGCAGCCTCGCTGTGGTTTAGGCAGGACTCCATGGTGTTCTGCATTCGTTCAGAAGTTTTCCTGAAAACCATCTGCACTCATTTATGTCTCAGTGAGTGAGTCTGGGGCTGGATGGTAGGAATGAGCCCAGGAGCTCACTTTATAGCTCTGTTGTCGCCTGGAAGGAGACTGCACAGGGAAACGGGTGCTACTGTGAATAAAGTGGGTGCTTCAGAGAGCAGTATGTGTTCCTAGTGGAGATATAGAAACACACAGCTGGGTTATCTGAGATGGTGCCTGGCTCTGAATCCATGGCCTTGCACTCTTTGGTGGCATAATCAGGGCATGTTTTCACTGCCTGGGAGCCATAGTTGCCATCTTCAGGACTAAGTGCCGTGTTTGGGCGTGACTGTTCCGTCATTGGGCTGGGCATTTTAGGTTGCAAAATAGCATTTTTTATGCTATACTTACCTCCATCTCACTCTACTAGTCCCCCACTGCCACATCACCTGGCCAAAAATCTCAGATTCCCAAGCTTTTATGGTTGCTTTTGGTCTTAGAACTGGTCGGCTCTGGGGCAGGCCTTTGGTGCAGTGGTTAAGTGCCTGCTTGGCATGCCTGCATCAAATATCTGAGTGTCTGGATTGAATCCCAACTCCACTTCTGATCTAGCTTCCTGCTAGCATATCTAGGGAGCCAGCAGATAGTGGCTCAATTGCTTGGGTCCCTGCCATCTGCAAGAGAGATCTGGATTGAGTTCTGGGCTTCTGGCTGTGGCTGGGTCCAACCCTGTCTGTAGCAGGCATTTGGGGAGTGAACCAGTGGATGGTTCGCTCTCTCTCTCTCTCTCTCTCTCTCTCTCTCTGTGTGTGTGTGTGTGTGTGTCTCCTTGGTCTCTCAAGCAGGTCACAGCTTTTCTTCTCCCAGCCCAGGCCTGATGCTGGAACTGCAGACAAGTGCAGGGCAGGGCCCGGGGTGGGGGTGGCCTTGGCCTCCTTCTACTCCTCCCTGAGGTGCATGGTTGATCTGGGTCCCGCCCCCACCCCCAGCTGCTGCCTGAGGTGTGTGTGTGGGGGGGGGTGTTGGGAAAGAGGGCAGGGGTGCTGGAATTCCCCATCCAGCTGTGGCATCTCCTCCCGTAGCCTAGAGTTACCCACTCCTGCCGTGCTGTGGGCCTGCCCTCCCCTGGCCTGTTGGTGCTCAAAGACTGTGCGTGGAAGATGAGGGTGGGGGAGGGCGGAGCCACCCTGCCCTCTGGCCCTGGGGGAGCTGGGAGCTGGGAGCCATCCCGCCCTCCCATAGCACGAGAGGCCCACTTCTCCCATTGGCCAGGGAGGCAGAACCTAACCTCCTGCCTGGCCCGGGTCTCCTGGCCTGACTGACAAACCAGGTGTCCCTTGCACCAGAGGATCTGCGGAACAAGGCCCCAAGGTCCTGTCCCTAAGGGGCTGACGGCCTAGAAGGGAGGGAGACGAGCTATAGCCAAGAGTAACCGCAACATGAGCTGGGCCACGAAGAGACCCGCAGCGAGGCGTTGGTCACGTGGCCATATTTCTCTGCTTAGCAGGAGATCCAGTTTGCAGCTGGGGTGAGGCAGGTGGACGGGAGAGAAGGCTTCCTGGAGAAGCAGAGTTTATGAGAAATGCTGCTGGTGTACAAGGGGACATTGCAGGGCAGACACTGGCCTCGGGAACAGTGAGCTTGGCCTGAGGACTTGCCTGCCCTTCCCGACTGTGGTCTCAGGATGCTCCGACTCCTGACCCTCAGCTCCACCCCTGTGCAGACGTTGTGGGGACAAGCGTGGGCTCTGGAGCCAGCTTCCCCGGGCTCAAGTCCTGCCTCTCCTCGCAGTACGCCTGTGGGTGTTGCAGAAGCCTCGGGTGGGAAGACTCCCTTCGTTCAAACAGGCACCAGAGACAGTGGAGGATCAAGCAGTTTATTAGCGCCAGCGGGCTCAGCTGGAATCATTTCTTGAGCACTAAGCGACAGTCCCAAGTTTCTTACAGTATTTATAGTTCATCAGTATCACACCTTAGCTGCTACAGCTTTGGTGGGTTTAAATTGCAGCCTATGTGACCTAGGACCACACTTCCAGTGGTTGGTGATCTGTTATGTTTGTAAAAGAGATGAGGGGGCCAGTGCTGTGGCACAGGTTAATCCTCCGCCTGCAGTGCCGGCATCCCATATGGGCACCGGTTCTGGTCCCAGCTACTCCACTTCTGATCCAGCTCTCTGCTGTGGCCTGGGAGGGCAGTGGAGGATGGCCCAAGTGCTTGGGCCCCTGCACCCTTGTGGGAGACCTGGAAGAAGCTCCTGACTCCTGGTTTTGGATTGGCCCAGCTCCGGCCGTTGAAGCCGTTTGGGGAGTGAACCAGAGGATGGAAGACATTTCTTTCCGTCTCTCCGTCTGTAATTCTACCTCTAAATTAATAAATAAAACCTTAAAAAAAAAGAGGTATCAGGGGCAGGTTTATTAGGACAGATTCATGACAGGAGTTACAGAAACAGCACTTAGGACTCTTCCCTCCCTGGACCAGAGAACGGGGGCAGCGTCTTCACTAGTTAATTGTAGCAGCCACTTCTCAAGGTCTGTGTGTGTGTGTGTGTGGGGGTGTCCACTTTTCTTTCTTTGTCTCCGGCTGTGGCTGTGTCTCCTCTACATGGGTGAGTCATGTAAGGCAGCAGTGCCTCAGTTTCCTGATCTGCAACACAGGGGTAATCACAGCGCACTCCACAACGTTGCTGTGAGTTCTGAGTTAATGTGAGAAACACTCTGACTACTGCCTGTCCCGTGCCAAGTGCCTGTGTGCTGCTCTTGCTACTGACCTTAGGAAGGAGAAGGAGAACAAAGCAGGCCCTCCACACAGGACACCTGCTCCTCTTGACACGTGCAGGTGAGCCTAGAAGGGCAGGGCAGGGCCCCCAGGTGGTGTGGAAACGAGTAGGCAGGAGGCAGGCACGTGCACTGTGAGGGCGAACCGGGAGCCAGTGCAGACCCACGGTACAGGGCGTACGGGTGAATTCTCCCTGTGGTCGCCTAGAATCCGGTGTCCCTCTCAAACGCCCCTGACTGGCTCTCGCATTTCTCTTGGATGCAGGCCTCCTGGAGGGTCTGCTCCCTGTCTCCCCAACGATGCGTCCCCAGGGGCTGTGCAGCCTCCACTTGGGGCTCCTGCTGGGCTCTGCGCTGCTGGTGGCCTCAGCCCCCGCCACCCCGGAGCCCCACAGTTGCAGCAACCAGGACCAGCAGGTGACCCTCAGCCACACCTACAAGATCGACGTGCCCAAGTCCGCCCTGGTCCAGGTGGAGGCTGACCCTCAGCCCCTCGGCGACACAGGGACTTCCCTCTTGGCCCCGGGAGAGGCCGGGGAGGAGCAGAACATCGTCTTCAGGCATAACATCCGCCTTCAGACGCCGCAGAAGGGCTGCGAGCTGGCAGACAGTGTCCGGGACCTCCTGGCCCGGGTGAAGAGGCTGGAGGAGGAGATGGCGGAGTTGAAAGAGCAGTGCAGTGCCCAGCGCTGCTGCCCAGGAGCTGCCGGTGAGCTCCCCACTCGGTACTCGCGCGGCAAACCCTGGTCGAGGGCCGGCCGCGTGCCAGCTGCTCCTGCAGCTTCAGGAGCACAGAGCCTGGAGCACGCCCCCTCTCCTTCTGGGTTTCCTCGGGGGTGGGGGTGCAATGGTGCTAGTCCCTGCTGCTCATCCGTTTGCTCAGTGGTACTGGCTGCAGGGGGCTTCCGGCAGCCGGAGCAGGGAGGGACCAGCAGTTCTTGGGAAGGGTCTAGACGCTGGGGCCAGCGCTCCCCGATGGGCATATTAGCGGAGACGCTGACCTGTGGCTCTTGTCTGCATTCACAGCGGGAAACAAAGGCACACAGAGGGAAGACGGAGGGTTTTGGAGATGGGCAGGATTGGGTTCAAATCCCAGTTCTGCTTCTTTTTCGGTACGCCTTTGGGCAGACTCTTTGAAGTTCCCTCAACTGTAAAAGGAGGGTAATTTGATCAGTTAGTGTCGTTCTGAAAATCAGACATGGTGTATTTCTGTGTTCCTGGCCCATAGTGGATATCCAGCGAATGGTGACCATTTGATGAACGTTAAAGCCCTGAAATTTGATTTCACGAACATCAGTGAGGGTTCCTCCCCCTCCCTCCCCACCTTTTTGAAAACATAAGCTGCACAGGCCGATCCAGATGGCAATGAGTGGTACTTTGGCACAGAAGAAATCGCTGAGGTTAACAGCACCTCCTGCGAATGCAGACACAACTGGGCCCCGCGGACACCCCCGCGAGCATACAGCAGCTCGGAATCTTCCTGGAGGGGCCCCCACTTCGCCAACTTCCTTTTTAGGACGGAAAACTTTTCTGAGAAGTAGGAGCAAGGGCTGCACTGGCTGGCCAGACCTCCAGCTGGGAGCAGATGGCCGGCTGGGGTCAGCGACGGCAGCCTGGTCAGAGCCCTTCTCCTACCCTCCTGCCCACGGTTGAGCCCACACTCTTGAGTTTGGAGCTCCCGTGGGTCCGCTTTCCCAGGCTTCTGCACGGCTTGGTAGGCAGGGCCCCGCTCCAACCAGCCAGGATAAAAAATTCTCCCTGTGGCCCCCACCCCACCCCCCACCCTGCCTCCCTCGGGAGCCCCGCCCCTTGGAGTCACCCTAGAAAATCAGAGGGGGCGCGTCCGGGAGGATTTCCCTCCCCCAACCCCAGCCTTTGTTCTGCCTCCCTCCCAGACCTGAACCACCACTGCAGCGCCCACGGCACCTTCTCCCCGGAGACCTGCAGCTGCCGCTGCCAGCCGGGCTGGGAGGGCGCGGCCTGCGAGCGCCCCGCCTGCCCCGGCGCGTGCAGCGGCCACGGGCGCTGCGAGGACGGCCGCTGCCTGTGCGACGCGCCCTACGTGGGCGCCGACTGCGCCTCGCCGGCCTGCCCCGAGAACTGCAGCGACCACGGCGTGTGCGTGCGCGGCGTCTGCCAGTGCCACGAGGACTTCACGTCGGAGGACTGCAGCGAGCGGCGCTGCCCCGGCGACTGCAGCGGCCACGGCTTCTGCGACACGGGCGAGTGCTACTGCGAGGAGGGCTTCCTCGGGCCGGACTGCGCGCAGGGTGAGCGCCCCGGCCGCCCTGGTCTCCACGGGGCCGCCCCGGTCTCCACGGGGCCGCCCCGGACAGGAGCGCGGTCAGGCGCAGGGCCGGCCCCTGGCCCGCTCACCATCCCCCCAGCGCTGCGTAACACGCAGCCTTTCCCGGATTCTGACTCACGGGCCGGCCTGAAATGTGCGTTTCTGGCAGGTCCCCAGGAGCCGGGGAGGCTGCGGAGTGGGGCCTGGTCTCCGAGACCGCTGGTCTCATTGGTGATCTGAGCTCTGTGTGTGTGGTGAGTCTGACTCTCACCCAGGCAGTGACTTCCCTTCCCGAGGGCGAGGGGAGGAGCCAAGCGCAGTGCCTTGCACAGGTCTGCACCCTCCACCCTGACCATTGATGTAGTGCTACAGAGGAGGTGCTCGGTTACTGCTCATCCTGCTACAGTGCTGTACAGCAGGTGCTCAGTGCTCATCATTACAGTGCTGTACAGCAGGTGCTCAGTGCTCATCATTACAGTGCTGTACAGCAGGTGCTCAGTTAGTGCTCATCATTACAGGAGAGGCTCAGTTAGTACTCATCCCGTTACAGTGCTGTACAGCAGGTGCTCGGTTAGTACTCATCCCATTAAAGTGTTACACGGCAGATGCTCAGTTAGTACTCATCCTGTTATAGTGCTATACAGGAGGTGCTCAGTTAGTACTCATCTCATTACAGTGCTGGACAGGAGAGGCTCAGTTAGTACTCATCATTACAGTGCTGGACAGGAGAGGCTCATTACTCCTTATCCCATTACAGTGCTATATAGGAGGTGTTCAATTAGTACTCCTTATCTCATTACAGTGCTACACAGTAGGTGCTCAGTTAGCACTCATCCCGCTACAGTGCTATACAGGAGAGGCTCAGTTAGTACTCATCCCATTACAGTGCTATACAGGAGGTGCTCAGTTAGTACTCATCCCGTTACAGTGCTATACAGGAGGTGCTCAGTTAGTACTCATCCCGTTACAGTGCTATACAGCAGGTGCTCAGTTAGTACTCATCCCGTTACAGTGTTATACAAGAGGTGCTCAGTTAGTACTCATCCCGTTACAGTGCTATACAGGAGGTGCTCAGTTAGTACTCATTCCATTACAGTGCTGTACAGCAGATGCTCAGTTAGTACTCATTGCATTACAGTGCTATACAGCAGGTGCTCAGTTAGTACTCATCCCATTACAGTGCTATACAGGAGGTGCTCAGTTAGTACTCATCCCGTCACGGTGCTCCACAGCAAGTGCTCAGTTAGTACTCATCCCATTACAGTGTTATACAGGAGGTGCTCAGTTAGTACTCATCCCATTACAGTGCTCCACCGCAGGTGCTCAGTTAGTACTCATCCCATTACAGTGTTACACAGCAGGTGCTCAGTTAGTACTTGTCCCATTACAGTGCTGGACAGGAGGTGCTCAGTTAGTACTCATCCCGTCACAGTGCTCCACCGCAGGTGCTCAGTTAGCACCCACCCCCTGGGCTGCCGTGGACCTGCCCCATTCCTCACCCTCCCCTCCTGCTGTCCTGCAGTGGTCGTCCCCCAGGGCCTGCAGCTGGTCAGGAGCACAGAGAACTCCCTGCTGGTGAGCTGGGAGCCCAGCAGTGAAGTGGACCACTACCTCCTCAGCTACTACCCGCTGGGGAAGGAGCTCTCTGCGAAGCAGATCCGGGTGCCCAAGGAGCAGCACACCTATGAGATTCCCGGGCTGCAGCCTGGAACCAAGTACATCGTCACCCTGCGCAACGTCAAGAAAGACGTGTCGAGTAGCCCCCAGCATCTGCTCGCCACCACAGGTGAGGGGCAGCCGGGCAGCCTGGGTCTAGTGTCCTCTCCCACGTTTCCCTGCAAACAGCCTTCGGGAGTGAGTCTGCTGTGGGCTTTGAGATGCGAAAACCGCCAGTGTGTGGTCTTGGTTCTGGAGAGAAGTCCGCGTTCTCTCCCCGCTGCTACTCCCTGCGCACTGCGCCCTGCAGCCTGCGGTCCAGCCTGCTGGGCTGGGCTCCGGGGTCCTCTCCGTGTCTGAGATGAGTATGATCTCATGGCCCTGTACCTCCACGCAAGCAGCCACGGGCTACACGGCGGCCTCAGCCCCACCCGGGGCTTCCAAGGTCATTCAGCTGGTCCAGATCAACAGGGGTGTGTGTGTGTGTGTGTGTGTGTGTGTGCTGCAGGGGCCAGCTCTGTTAGATTTATCTCAGCAGGCGTGAGGACACACACAGCCCTGGAAGGAAGTGTAAGGAAAAGCTGTACAGTGCAGGTGGGGTTTGCGTGGTGGGACACTCTGGCACTGCCAGGCTGAAGGGGCCAGGGGTGGACCCAGAGAACGCTGTAGGAAGGTGCCGAGGTGCCTTTGGTGGAGGGATGCGGGTGGTTCACGGGGTCCCCAGAGGGAGGGAGTGGAGTCTGTCCTTGGAATTCTCTCCTACCCTCTCACCTGCTGGGGAGACCCTCTGGCTGAACCAGTGACCGCAGGGCTAGGGGTCCTGGTGACTCCGTTCACAGAGATCCTAACTGGGATATGGGGCAGGGGGTGGCAGAGGCTGGAGCTGCAGAGAGGGGGTCCCCCTGCATGCCCCCAAACGCCACCGAAATACTCGCAAGGACAAACATCAAAGCAGCAAGCCCACTCTCCTCGTTTGAAACCCGCGTTTGCTCGTGAAAGCAGCTTGGATCTCAGTGAGTTTGGAGAAAGCTACCATGAGTGACTGAGCCATTCCCTCACTCAGCACGTTTTGATGGATCACCTGCTACGTGCCCGGGCATGGGACTGGCTACTGATGGTCTGTTGCCCTGCCATCCTGCGCTGTGCCTTGTGGGAGATCCAGGGAGATCCCGATGGCCAGGCCTTTGGAGCGCGCTGTCTTCAGGAAGCTTTGCTACCTCTCCTTTGTGGGTGGCGGAGATGGGGTGGGGTGGGGTGAGGCGAGTCAGAGCTGGAACGGCTCCCGGAGGCTCACTGCCTTGTAACTGGCTTCATCAATGCCCTGCAGCCCAAGATCCATAGGAACCCCCTGTAGTTGACCATGTTGGGCTTGCTGATGATTTCGGCGTGAGAGAGCCCGCACCATGGAAAGCTGTGGGGTGTTCCAGTAAGAGGGTGTCAGGAGGGACTGGTTATAGAATTTGGGGTAATTTGGGGAAGTTTTTAAAAAAGGATGTTATTTGTTTATTTTGAAAGGCAGAGCTACAGAGAGGTAGAGACAGAAAGATCTTCCATCTGCATTTCTCCCCAAATGGCTGTGATGGCCAGAGCTGGGCAGATCCCAAACCAGAAGCCAGGAGCTTCCTCCAGGTCTCCCACGCGGGTGCAGGGGCCCAAGGACTTGGGCCATCTTCTACTGCTTTCCCAGGCCATAGCAGAGAGCTGGATCAGTAGTGGAGTAGCCGGAACTCGAACCGGTGCCCATATGGGATGCCAGCACTGCAAGCAGTGGCTTTGTGTTCTATGCCACAGCGCTGGCCCCTGGGGGCAATTTTAAGAAGGCAGGGATTTGCTTTGGATTAGCAAAAAAAATGGGAATTACTCTGTGGTTGGTGAGCTTGGTGAAGCCTAGCTAGAAGGAAGGAAGAGGGGCCGACGCAGTGGCTCACTAGGCTAATCCTCCGCCTGCGGCGCCAGCACACCGGGTTCTAGTCCCAGTCGGGGCGCCGGATTCTGTCCTGGTTGCCCCTCTTCCAGGCCAGCTCTCTGCTGTGGCCAGGGAGTGCAGTGGAGGATGGCCCAAGTGCTTGGGCCCTGCACCCACATGGGAGACCAGGAGAAGCACCTGGCTCCTGGCTTCGGATCATCGCGATGCACCGGCCACAGCAGCCATTGGAGGGTGAACCGACGGAAGGAAAACCTTTTTCTCTGTCTCTCTCTCTCACTGTCCACTCTGCCTGTCAAAAAAAAAAAAAAAAAAAAAAAAAGGAGGAGGGAAGAGGAACGGGAGCTACAGCTGCCGCTGGGCAAGAAGAATGAAGTGCAGACGCCCATCTGTCAGGAGAGGGGACGCCCAGTCCTTTATGCGGGGTGGACAGCGGGCACCACGTGTCTGTTCAGACATGGGCACAGGGTAGCTCTATGTCCTTGAGTCTGCGTGGTCAGAGAGGCTAGTCTGGAGTTGACATTCTGTGAAATGGTTTCTGCCCAACAGGAGGACACCCAGCCCGAGCGGGAGCCAGGCTACCTCCCGCCAGCAGGAGCTCGCTTGCTTTCTCTCTCTGTGGTCCGTGGCTGCTTTTGCACACAGATGGAACAGTGTCCAGGCTGCCGGGAGTCACAGGGACATGTGTGCTAAAAGTCCTAGCGACCCTCCTTGGCATCTCGCTTTAGGAACTTATGTAAACTCCCACAAGGCTGAGGTTTGTCTTTCTGTCCGGCCTGATTCCAGTTGAAGCCGTTCTGATGTGCTCCCAAGGGGGCCTCCGACGCGCAGACACTGAGAGATGCTTGTCCCGTCGTGGCCGAATGTTCTCATTAAGCCCTTTCTTTCTCCTCTGCCAGTCCCTCCCGATTCTCCTAAGCCATGGGCGACTGCTTCTGAGTCACTTTCAGTGTTCGCCCCTGACCTGTCCCCCAGGGAATCCCATTTCTGAAGGACGTCTAGGCTGGCAGGAGGGAGGAAACGCCTCTGCGAGCCGCTGTCTCTGTGCCAGATGGACCAGGGACACCAGAGCAGGGCAACCTCGAAGTCGCTGAGTTCGCAGCCTCACGAGGCACACACTGTCCCACGTCCCTGACAAGTGCTCAGCCGGCCTGGGCGGCAGAAAAGCCTCCAAGGAGTTGAAGGGGGAAGGGACTTGGCTTCCCTGTTCCACACTTTAAGCTGGGATATGGCTTTTGGTGTTCAAAGTGCTCCCCGAAGATCCTAACTCCCCCATCTTCCTCTCCCCCCAACCCCCGTTTCCCCCCCGAGCATCGCATCATCCTCATTATCATGTCACGCTCTCCTTTCTGAGTGGGAGGGGGATAGTTTAGCTGTGAGCACGTTCCTGTGCGTGTGTGCAGTGACTCCTCCCTCGCAGGCAGAACCGTGGGGCAGCAGAGCCCCAGGTGGCTGGCGAGGTCCTGCACTTGTGCAGTGGGAGCAGGAAGGGCACCAGGAGGGACCTCGCTGAGATTCACCTGCTGTGTGGTTTTGCTCCGAGTTAATACTTAGAGGAGGGCTTGAAAGACGGAGGGAGGAGCCGGTTGTAATGGCACTGTTAGCTCTAAGTTTGGAGTGCGGTTCCCCGCATTTACATGGAAGGGCCTAGGCGGCTCCTCCGAGGTTGCAGGGGCCCTGTGGCTAAAAGCGGGGAGTCTAGTTCAGCACGTCTGAGCTCTGGCTGGGAGGTGTGCGCTGCTGGCCCGAGAGGTGGGGTTTGGGCTTGACCCGGGCCAGTGTGGGCAGGGAGGGCGGTGTGGCATCGGGCGGGATGGGTGAGCAGAGGTCTCCCAGGCTGGCCTCCGTGGAAGCTTTGAAAGCCAGCAGCTTGGGCGCTAGTTGAGTAGCTCTAAGGGACAGCAAGGCCTGTTCCCCACGTGCAGCCGATGGCCTGTTAGGGGCCCGAGGACCCTCTGCCGTTCACCACGTCTGCTTTGCCCTCTGTGCCCCCTGCCCCAGATCTGGCTGTGCTTGGCACTGCTTGGGTGACCGAAGAGACGGAGACCTCCCTGGACGTGGAGTGGGAGAACCCCTCGACGGACGTGGACTACTACAAGCTGCGGTACAGCCCCTTGACGGGGCACGAGGTGGCTGAGGTCACGGTGCCCAGAAGCAGGGAGCCCAAGAGCCGCTATGACATCACCGGTGAGCGCCCGTGTTGGGAGGGGAGCTGTCGGCTGCAGATACTGAGGGGGTGAGGGGGCGCGCTGCGAGTCTGGGGACGTGGGAGTTGCACCGGCAGCTCCCAGCCATGAGCCTGCTCTGGAGGCCTGCAGACTGCGTGCAGCCCACAGCTGGAGGCCCAGAGCCCCTTGTTAACAGATTCCCCGGCTGCTGTTCTGCCAAGTGAGCTCACCCTTCTGAAGACCCTGCCCGGGTCCTGGGGAAGATGTGATGCTGTGCAGACATGCCTTTCGGAGGAGCTCTGCGTGTGTGTGTGTGTGTGTGTGTGTGCACACGCGGTGCTATGGAGACACTGAGACTGGTTTCTGGAAACCAGTTGTGTTAGGAGGCCTGGGTCGGGGGCTCCCGGTCCCGGATGTCTGAACTAATGCCATGGAGGGCTAAGAAGCAGGGGTGCAGAGACGGGCCAAGTTTTGCAGAGTTTGACGTTTTCTCCACTTTAAGGAAAGCAGTAGACCATCGGAATGCCTAATGAGGCCCAGGGCCCGGAAGGGGGCCCGGGTAGGGCATTGGTGGTCTTTCCTCCTCTGGCGCCCCGTTCTGCCATCCCACTCCCTGGGTTCAGTGTGGAGAGGGAGCATCCTGGGGTTCCCAGTGTCAGTGCAGTGGGAACAAAAGTGTGTGTGTGTGCCTCACTCGCGTTGGGTTGCCTGTATTTTGTGACAAGAGCAACAACCATTCAAGTTGCTTCTACAGGGAAAGAACTCTAAGGGCAGGGTAGGGGTGGGGGGGGGGAAGGAGGGCAGGGAGGAAAAGGGGAAGACAGTCTAGGCTAATTATCACAATGAGAGGGGAAGGAACTTTGGCAGGAAGACCGTCGAGCAGTAAATAAAATCCAGAAGCAAAAGCTAGGTGCCCCAGCAAAGTTTGGGAGCTCCATGGCCCTCAGCTCACCGCCCGGGGCCTTCTCTCCTCATCAGCAGGGCCCCTGCGTGGTGCCTCCCATCCGTGGGTCCCACAGCTGTCTGTCCACCCAGAGACAGAGCGTGGCTACGGGGAGGGGAGCAAAGCCCCTCAGCTCCCCCTCCCAGGAGAGCTCCGGGGAGGGCTGGCAGTGGGGCTGTGTGTGGGAGGGGAGCCCCGAGCGCAACCTCACGTCCAGTGCTGCTGCGTGTGTGCAGGTCTGCTGCCTGGGACGGAGTACAAGATCACGGTCATCCCCATGAGAGGAGAGCTGGAGGGCAAGCCGATTCTGCTGAGCGGCAGGACAGGTAAGAGCATTATCTAAACGCAGGGGATGTGTCCTTTTTTTTCTGGCCACACCCGTGTTTTCCTGATGGCCACAATCAGGCAGTCGAAAGACTGAAGACCCAGGAGGGGAGTGGGGTGAGAAGTGTCACTGTGTTCCTGAATCCGCGTATGTGAAACTTGTATACCTTAACTAAACTTTTAAACTAAACTTTTAAAAAATGATTAAAGGCCCTCACCTAGGAGTGGCGGCATTTTTAGCATCTGTTTGTTGAGAAAATATTCAATGACAAAGCATTGTGAATCAGTAGTTTCTGATACCAACTTAGGATTCGTTGATCAGAACGGAGTCTGAAGACATGGTGGAGTGTATCGCAGGAGGTCCTATTAGCTTTCAGCTTTTAGAAGGGGCTTTGCATTTCCAGTCTTCCGGGGAAGATTTCTCATTCTTTCCCGTTCAGTCGTGTGTGTGTCTGATTAGGATGCTGAGAATAAGGGGCGATGGTGTGAGAATCCAGTTCGTTATTCCAGCCACTTAGCCGACTGCGTACTGGAGTAAGAAGTTATCGCGGGGCAGTTACAGAGCGTCAGCTGTAATTCCCTCTATAGATGAAGCTCTGCAGACGCAGCCTGCCCAGACAGCAGACTAGTGAAGCACTTAGTGGCTCGGAAAATGCCAAGTCCTTGCTGTTCGTGGCTGTCTCTGTAGCTGCAAATTAACTGAGAGCTTACTGTGGGCCAGGCATCAGACTGGCTAAGCACTTTCCACGCATTCTCTACTGAGTTCTCACAGCAGTCCTAGGACACAGGGCCTATTACTGTTGCTATGGCAACCACAAGACACCTGAAGGTCAGGGGGTGACTCAGAGCCACCCAGAAGGGAAATGACAGAGCTGGAATTTGGACCCAGGAAGTGCAAGTGTGCCCACTTTTACCGCCTGTAAGAGACGGACACTTTGTCTTCCCGCCCACAGTCCACACCAGATGGAACCTTTGCCCTGTGATGAACAGATTGGGGTGGTGGAGTTTCTCTGCACAAGTCTCCATTATTATTGCGTGTCCTAAGATTCAGTCCCGCTCTGGCACCGTCTTCTGGGAGATAGTGTTGCATGCCATAGGGAGTCTTACTCCCACAAGATTGTCCTTATTTCAGATGTCAGGGACAAGTGCCAGGTTGTCATCTGTACTTCCGACCACCTGGCTACAAATGACAGGTTTCTTGGGCCTGCTCCTTGGGTTCTATTAATTTGGAAGAGGAGTCACAGGACTCAAGGGAATTCTTAGGTTTACCCATTTGTGAGGGGGTCTTCATGGTCTTGAAAAGTGTGTGTTTGTGAACACACTATGTGTGGATCTCAGATATTTTTTTTTGCACTAAAGTAAACAATTTCATTTAAAATTGTTTATTGGATTTATTTGAAAGGCAGAGAGACAGTGAGAGGAACAGATATACAAAGATCTCCCATCTACTGACTCACTCCCCAACATTTGTTTATTTCACTTGTTAAAATACAAATTCTTAAAAAAAATAAAAAAATACAAATTCTTTTTTTTCTTTTTTCTTTTTTTTTTTTTTTGACAGGCAGAGTGGACAGTGAGAGAGAGAGACAGAGAGAAAGGTCTTCCTTTGCTGTTGGTTCACCCTCCAATGGCTGCCGCGGCCGGCGCGCTGCGGCTGGCGCATCGCGCTGATCCAAAGGCAGGAGCCAGGTGCTTTTCCTGGTCTCCCATGGGGTGCAGGGTCCAAGCACTTGGGCCATCCTCCACTGCACTCCCGGGCCACAGCAGAGAGCTGGCCTGGAAGAGGGGCAACCGGGACAGAATCCGGCGCCCGACCGGGACTAGAACCTGGTGTGCCAGCGCCACAAGGCGGAGGATTAGCCTAGTGAGCCGCGGCGCCTGCCTAAAATACAAATTCTTATCTATTAGTTTTATTTGTTTGAAAGTCAGAGAGAGAGAGAGAGAGAGAGCGCGCGAACGAAACACCCGAGTCTCCATCTGTTGGTCCCCTCCCTAAATGCCTACAATGGGCAGACTGAGTGAGAGTGGCTGAAGTCAGCAGGTGGAAGTCCATTCTACCATACGGGAGCCAGGGTCCCAAGTACTTGAGCAAACAACCGCTCTGGTCTCTTCCACTTACCAGTCACCCAGCGGAACCAGTGCCACCAAAGGGCAGGGATCGGCTGAAAATCCTCACCCTGTTCACACACTCCAAAGGCCTGGGGCCCCTTGCCAGAAGGCAAGGCTTCCGAAGGGGTCACTTCCAAGGGCGGCGAGCGCAGGCTGGGCCCGAGGCTGCAGACTCTTCCCTTCCCCGGGGAGAGCCCCTGGGTCTCCCCCAGGCCCTCACAGCCACACGTGGTGCTTCACGTGGCAGGCTGCAGACTGGGAGGCCAGGAATTCTGCGTCCTCGGTTTCTCCGTCTGGAAAATGAAGGGTTGGACTAAACAATTTTGAAGTTCCGCCTCTTGTTTTCGCTGTGTTTATTAATAGCTGCCATGGACGCTGCCTTTCTCCGAAGCAGAAAGCACAGCGGGTTGGCTTTGTTGGAACGTCACAGCAGAGCTGGGCCTGTCGTAATCGTGAGCAGCCGTCCCACAGCTTTCCCTCTGGGACTGTGATAGGAGTAGCACGCTGGCTTCTTTCAATATCTTCTCACTTTTTCCTGACTCCCCAGTGCAGGGTTCCTGCATGGCCCGGCCCCTAGCGCTGTCCCTCCCAGGCGTGTTCTTGTGGGGGGCTGAACTCCTGTGAATCAGGACTCCTGTCTCCCACACAGCCACCCAGCGCCCGGAAAGGGGTACTGGTCTCCATCATCGAGTGACCACGGCGTTGTGGTGGGCTTCTGTGTACCCTGAGTATCTCTGGTCTTTATAGCAATGTTTCAGGCACTCTAGGTTCCATTCTATAGACGAGGAAGTGGAGAGCTACGAAGCTGAGGAGATTCAGGGTGAACTCTCGACCAGCTGAGCTGCGGTTGGGGCGATGATAATCTTTCCAGAAGCAAGGTGGACGACGACAGGCCGAGGGAGGTTGGTCTCTCTGAGTACATCTAAGTGGTGCCTTTTGAATCCTTTTGCTGTCACACCAGAGGGACAGTAGAGGAGGCCATCGAACAAAGAGTGTAGCCCCAAGGCACCTTGAAATCAGTGGCAGAGGCTCCAGCCCCAGCTCTGTCCACAACTTCATGTTCCCGTAGATCCTGCATGTGCCGTCTTCTGCTGCACCAGCTGGCTGACCACTGTGATGGGAGAACTCCGTGCCTGCTGCCTGTGGCCTTGTGCTGGAGCGGGGCCTTGCAGTTGGGTGTCACAGCGTAGACTGAAGACAGTCATTCCCAACCCAGCTCTGTAGCGGATCTTCTTACAGAGTGAAATACTCTTCCTTGTGGACGCAGCTCCTGATTCATCGCTTCTATATATTCTGGTTTTGCAAATTAGATCCCTTTGAAGTGCGGCTGCCTTTTATTTTAACACAAGCACTTGAAAGTGAGTCCCACCTGTCAAGCCTTACAAGTCCTGCCTTAAATCTCTCGGACTTGAATGGCCCGGAGCAAGGTCCCACCACGGCTGCTGGCATCCAGCAGGTGGGCGCTGCAGCCTGAGGAAGAAGCTGGGACCAGGGTGGAGAGCTTGTTTTGTAGTTGAGGCTGCAGCTGGTACTTATCTAGGCTTTGGCCGCCTGCCGCAGCTACTGAAAAGCTTGGTTACGTGGAAAAAACCCATTTAATGATGCCCACGTCCCTTCCTGGCAGGGAGGGAGGTTTTGGCCTTGCAAAGTTGGCCCCTTCCAGCGCTGTGGTTCTGTCTCTGAGGGCTTGCTCTTGTTTCTGTATCTTGGTATCTGACTGAGAATGGCCCAGGACAGAACTCTGAAGAGACCCCTGTTTCGGTGACTGTTGTTGGGGAACTGGGAGAGAGAAGGAGGAAGGAGTCAGAGAGCCATGAGTTCCAGGCTGGCTCCGTGACCTGGCAGAAGTCACGTCTCTTCTCGGAGCCTAAGCCTCCAGGCCGCCTCTAACCAGGCACAGGGTGACCCTTTTCCCTCCCTACTCTTCAGAACCAACGTGCCTTTTCCACGTTCTGCTCCGACCTTCGAGTGCCCCAGGGCTGGTTGCTGTGGTGCCCATGCACTCCTGGGAATGTGACGGCTCTGCCCACGCAGGCAGGCAACACCGGCTCTGCCAGCATGTGCTGTGGGCCTGGAAGCTCTGTTCCTGGGCTTGAAATCCTTGTTTATTTATTTTCACTCACATGAAAAGGGGGGAAGGGAGAGATTGATTTTTTTCAATATATTTCCTAGTGTTTTGTCATATATGCTCTCTTATTTTAAAAGATTTATTTATTTATTTGAAAGTCAGATTTACACACAGAGAGGAGAGAGAGAGAGAGAGAGAGAGAGAGAGAGAGAGAGGTCTTCCATCCACGGGTTCACTCAACAGATGGCCGCATTGGCCAGAGCTGCGCCGATCCAAAGCCAGGAGCCAGGAGCCTCTTCCAGGTCCCCCGTGTGGGTGCAGGGGCCCAAGGACTTGGGGCATCTTCTACTGCTTTCCCAGGCCACAGCAGAGAGCTGGATTGGAAGTGGAGCAGCCGGGACTTGAACCGGCGCCCGTAGTGGATACCGGCACTGCAGGCGGCGCTTTACCTGCTACGCCTCAGCGCCAGCCCCTGATTGATTTTCTATACACTGGTGCACTCCCCACATCCTGCAACATCCAGGCCGGGTCAGGCAGAAGCCAGGAGCTTCCATCTGGGTCTGTGGGGGGCAGGGCCCATACACCTGCGCCATCCTCTGCTGCTTTCCCAGGTGTGTCAGCAGGGGGCTGGATGGGAAGTGGAGCAGCTGGGGCTTGAACCAGAGTTCCAATATAGGGTGAGGGGGTCCCAAGCAGTGGTTTACCCCACTGTATCACAATGTCTGCCCTTCCGTATGGTATTTGTTTTCCTGATGACACAATTCAACCCATGTGGGTGCAGGGCCCAAGCACTTGGGCCATCCTCCACTGCACTCCCTGGCCACAGCAGAGAGCTGGCCTGGAAGAGGGGCAACCGGGACAGAATCCGGCGCCCCAACTGGCACTAGAACCTGGTGTGCTGGCGCCACAGGTGGAGGATTAGCCTAGTGAGCCGCGGCGCTGGCTGGTCCCCCAGCTTTAAGTAGGAACCCAATGACTGTGGAATGAGCCAATGAAAATCATTCACTAGCTCAGTGATCTCCAGCACCTTATCTAACCTCTTTGACTCTCAGATATAGTTAAGGCTCAAAAAAATGCTAGCTGGATAATCTTTATTGAATTTACAGAGTAGTACATAGGAAATCTGATAACTGTGTTGTGACTGTGATATTGGATAAATTAACTTCTAAAAGCACCGGCCAGTGTGTGTTCATACATAGTTGATGTGCTACAAAGTAAGATGTGCTCTGGCCCTGGTGATGGAAATGCACACACACAGACCACTGCCACTGAGCCCGAGAAAGGTGCATTGTAGCTGATGTGAGAGAGTACGACTCGGTGAAATTTCAACTCCTCTCGCAAGCACCCTGGGTCAAGAGAACAAGAGAAGCATGGGAAGGAAGGAAAAATACTTAGGTGTCTGAGGCTCAGAAGCTGTTGTGAGTGTTCTCACCCCAACGATGCCAACCTGTGTGTGTGTGGGGGTCTGGGGGTACCTCTGCTTAGTTCTGTGCTGTGTCCTTGTCAGTGGCCTTGATAGAGAAACCCAGATGGCTCTCGCTTTCCACGCTGTCAAAGATAGACACTGGAAAGGAAGCTGAGCACGTGGGGTCCAAGGCTGCGTTATAATGGGATTTACAACATAAGTGTATAGCAAGGGTAGATGCTGAGTCCAGTGACCGCACTATACATGCGACAAATGCGGGCAGGTGGCTCACACGAGGTTCTCTGCCTTCGGAGTGCTTAAGAATTACTTGGAAAGTTCTGTTTCCTTCTGTTCCAGGGTGTTTCAACAAGCTCATGGAAAATGGAATTAAAAAGTGAATTTATTTTTCTGCAAAATGTTTTGTCAGCCATGCATATGAGGGCGTCTTCAGAAAGTTCAAGAAAATTCATAGTATGAAGATCTGTACGTGAATCTAGAATTGTTGTGTGAAAATAAGCTTATCTTTTTTTTTTTAAGATTTATTTTATGTATTTGAAAGACAGAGTTACAGAGAGAGGTAGAGACAGAGAGAGTTCTTCCATCCGCTGGTTCACACCCCAGATGGCTGCAATGGCCGGAGCTGCGCCTATCTGAAGCCAGGAGCCAGGAGCTTCTTCCAGGTCTCCCACGCAGGTGCAGGGGCCCAAGGACTTGGGCCATCTTCTCCTGCTCTCCCAGGCCACAGCAGAGAGCTGGATTGGAAATGGAGCAGCCAGGACTAGAACCGGCACTCATATGGGATGCCGGCACTTCAGGCCAGGGTTTTAACCCACTGCGCCACAGCGCCGGCCCCTCTTTTTTGTTTTTAAAGATGTGTTTATTTATTTGAAAGGCAGAATTACAGAGAGGGAGAGACAAAGAGAGCAAAGAGAGAGATCTTCCATATACTGGTTCACTCCCCAGATGGACACAATGGCCTAGACAGAACTGGGCTGAAGCCAGGAGCCAAGAGCTTCATGTGGGTCTCCAACAGGGCCCCAAGCACTTGGACGGTTCTCTGCTGCTTTTTCCAGGCACATCAGCAGGGGGCTGGATGGGAAGTGGAGCAGCCGGGACACAAACCTGGAGTTCCAGGTGGTGGCTTTACTTGCTATGCCACATGCCAGCCCCAACTTATCTTTTAATTCATTTTTCCCTGAGCTTCTTGAAGTATTCTCAGAGAGACACTCGGGCTCATCTGAGGCCTCCTGAAATGGAATCTGGTGGCAGTACGTAGCGAGTGCTTGGTTTTCACAAAGGTTGAGAACTTCTGGGTTAACCAGGGCAAGAATGAAACCAACTAAGGATTTTCTGAGGCTCCCAGGATATGTTATTGGGAAGCACACCCCTAGGATAGGCTGAACGCGGTGTTCTGGGTTGGCCTTTTTGAATGTCAGCTCCACATTGGCAGGGATCTCTGACTGATGTATTCGCTGATGACGTCAGAGTGCCATTGCATTCGCTGGCCCACTATGGCTGTTCAATGAGTTGTGAGATACGTGAACTGAATTTAGGGGATTTTTGTTTGAAAAGGGAAAGAAAGAATCACATCTAGAAGTGCCAGGTCTAGGAACTACAATTTGGAAGGAATCGGTAGAAGAGGTGAAGTTGTTTTGATTTCAGAAGAATTAAGAAGGGGAGAATAATAACTTCGTTTTTAAAGACTGATTTATTTGAAAGGCAGATTGGTAGGGAAGGAGAGACAGACAGCGAGATCTTCCATCTACTGGTTTGCTCCCCATGGGGCTCTAATGACCAGGGCCGGTGCAAGCTGAAACCAAGAGCCAGGAACTCCATCCAGGTCTCCCACGTGGCTGGCAGGGACCCAAGCCCTTGGGCCACCTTCCGTTGCTTTCCCGGCACACTAACAGGGAGCTGAATTGGAAGTGAAGCAGCTGGGGCTCAAACCGTGCTCTGACATGGGATGCTGATGTTGCAAGAGGTGGCTTAACCCTCTGTGCCCCAGCACTGGCCCCTGGTAACTGCTCTTGAAGGCTGACGTGATGGTCGCCGGGAAGAGGAGCTACTGTATTCTCTGTGTTGTCCTAGGATAGACACGTTTGGAGGAGGCAGACCTTGAGTGGCTACATCTGAAGGAGTTTTCTGAAAATGGATGGGTTTTTGGCTACCGGGGAGCCCTTTGTCAGTCTGGGGCTCAGGCAGAGACCAGTGGTCCGCCTGTCATGGGTGAATCCATGACCCTTTCACCTAATACTACACTGGATCACACTGATGAAGTAGACCTTTAAGTATCTGTGACTGGGCCAGCCCAATCGTTTCTCTAATTGTTTTCCTCGTGTGTTTTTATGAAGAAATTGATGGTCCGACCAACGTGGTGACTGATCGCGTGACGGAAGACACGGCTGCCGTCTCCTGGGACCCCGTGAAGGCTGACATAGACAAGTATGTGGTGCGCTACATCTCCCCTGATGGGGAGACCAGGGAGACGGCAGTCCCCAAGGACCAGAGCAGCACCATCCTGAGGAGCCTGAAGCCGGGAGAGGCCTACAAAGTCTACGTGTGGGCTGAGAGGGGCAGCCAGGGCAGCAAGAAGGCCGACACCCAGGCCCTCACAGGTGAGACGGCCAGGAGCCAGGCAGGTTGTCGCAGGGCAGGGGCAGGCTGGTTGCCGCAGGGCAGGGGCAGGCTGGTTTTGAATCGGAAGGTCGTTCGCCGGCGTCAGCTCTGTCATTCTTAGAGGTGGGAGAGAGGGGTGCACGGCAGTTATGAATTTCATGCTTATGCATTGCTTCCCTTTTTAACCTCGAATGATAAAGGTCAGACGTTTAATTGGATCCAGAAGATCACATTTGGGCTGGAACTCCATATGCAACTCCCTCTGAGTAGATTCACACTTTCTGATTTTCTTTCTTTTGGACACGGTGCACCTGAATGCTTGTCTTGGTTTGCAGTGGCTGTGCGGGCACGTTGCAGATCCGGGGCTGCCTTTCGTCTGTGCACGTGGTCTGCCTCCTGAGCCCACATTCGCCCAGTGTACTGTGTACTGATCTGCCTTCCTCCTTCTCACCCCTCCTTTTGAGTATTTATTTATCTATTTGAAAGTTACAGAGAGAGAGAGAGAGAGAGAGGGAGAGGGAGAGG